CTGGCGCACAGCAGGCGCAATCTGTCGTTAACAAATCGCGGTGAAAATCATAATGAGCGGCGGGAAAATTTTTGGTTTTCTTTTACTCAACCTCTACACCCTTTCGTGGCACTTGAGAGCTTTAAAGTCGATCCACTTTATATTAGCTACAGATATTTGCTTTGTGGAAAATATAAACAAAATATTTAGTATTCATTTTACAATATGATCTAACCTTTTAAAAACTAGAGAACTCATAATTATGTTATCCATAGTTTTTGTTTTATGGCAAAAAGAAATGTTTTCCACAACGAGAGTACGTAGAATAAACCCCTTATTCTATAGAGAGAAAAAGAGGACTAAAATAAAGTTCAAATGCGCTCGATTTAAATACTTCTTTTCAATTCTTGAAACCCATACTTTATATAAGTACGAAAAGTACTGAAAGTTAACTTACTTAAAGTCTTTAAGCCCAACAAATCTTAAGTTAAGAGACATAAGTCTCTTACATATCTACGAAAAGTACTGAAAATGAGCATACAAAATCTTTAAACACACACAAATCTTAACTTAAGAGTCATAAGTCTTTAACATAAGTACGAAAAGTACTGAAAATAAGCTGTAGAAAACTTTAGCTACAAAAAAATATTAACTTAAGAGTGATAAATATCATACGTAAATACGAAAAGTATTGCAAATGTCTTTAAACACAAAAATAAAAACTTAAATTAAGAGACAAGAAACTTGAAGCAAGTGCAACTCGAAAAGTACTGAAAAGTGTCTTTAAACACAATAATAAAAACTTAAATTAAGAGCCTATAAACTTGAAACAAGTTAAGCTCTTTTTCTACTAAGAATGAGTACTAACTCGAAGCTTGGGCTCGAAGTCCACCAAGTCTAGTTTCGAAGATCTTACAACAATATTTGTAAAATCTTAAATCAAGATATATAAATTTAAAAAAAGCACACTCCACCGATTTAACATATTGATAGAAAATATTCTGTTATGTTGCTCAAATTTATGAACTACTAATTTATTATTATTAGTTGTACTATAGATATAGATTGTATATTGAGGAAGAAGTCTTAAGTTTTTCGTTCAATACTTAAACTTAGTTATATGAATTTAAGCTCTTCTTCGCATAGTTTTAATTTTGATATTTTGTATAAATCTTTAATTGGTGAGTCAAGGCGCCCTTAGTCTATCTGAAGTATCCAACCACAGACAATGTAAAATCAGAAAAATGATTATAGATAGTCTATCTCTGTTGATTTGTCACTTGACTAGAGTATGCCTGGATTGCGTGGAGAGGGCATTTGGGCTTCGTCTAGCTGGGGTACGCACTTTCCAGCTGGTTTTAATTTCGAGTCAAGCACAAAGGCTGTCAAGCATGACAGCCGACTATCAAAAAGCTGTCCGGATGGGATCCCAACACAATTCAAGAGGGAACCGCGGACAGCTCTTGGGAAAAGTCTCGGCGAAAAGTCTCCGACTGCGACTGCGACTGCGAGTCGACTTTTGACAACTGAAAAGTGGCCACATTTCTCTATCATTGTTGTTGCTAAATTCTGTTAATAGTTTTATCTCATTTGTTAGTCGACGGTGTGTGGGTAAAAATTTACAACATTCACAAATGTGTTTGGTTTTTTTTCATTTCTGTGTGTGCGGCATGCAAATGGGCTAAAGAAATGGAACTGCCATGAGAACATTTCGTGTCAGCGTTGACTTCATATCTCTGACAGCATCAAAGCAAAACCACTTAAAAACGGGGCAAGGGGGGAAGAGTCTCTCCGAATGGGCCTTATTTCTCTCTTCTCTTTTTTTTTTTTTGCCTATTTTGTGTAACAACTAAAAACAATTTGGCAAGGTGTCGGCTTAGCACGAGGAGAAACTCCACTTTTTACTGCGCCTTTTATGAGCTGTAGCTGTCCAAAAAAAAAAAAAAAGGCGATGATAAATTTGTTGTGGCCAGCTAAGATGGCAGAGAGAACCCCTCTTATAGCCGCACGATTAAATGCGGATTACGTATGCGCGAAAGTTGACGGAAGAGAACCAAGGGCAATTCATCACCTGCGATTTAATGTCGGGCCAAGAAAAGCCTCAGATGTCGTGTCCAACTATCACAAATGACACTCATACTGGTACACTGACAAAAACAGGGAATTCTTTGAATGATTTAAAGAAAATTGTAAGCACAAATTTATGGAGTTTCTATTTAACATTGAAAGAAATTCTAGAAAAATACGCCCGCGCGCAATTAATTTTGAAATATATTTCCTTGCCTCGAGTGCAAAGGAAAAAGTCGTATTTACTTTATTGAATACACATATTTAATCATTTTAAACAAAATCTTAAAAAATTGTCCGAAAGTCTGAGCTGAAATTTTAGCTATGATCTATTAAGTAAACACATCGGCACACTAAAATACAAAGTTAGAGGATCCAACTCCCAGGCATAAGTCAATATTTATATTTTTATTATCATTTAAATTACATAATAAAAATATTGACTCATATTTCTGACTGGGGCCTCGATCCCTAAACTTAGTATTCAGTGGAGACGATGCATTTATCAGATACTTGGTAAAGCCATAATATATGTAAAATATATATAGTCATATATCAAATATATATCTATACATAAATGGACGAATGTATAGAATATAATATAAACTCTATTATATATTATTAAATATATGTATAGTTTTTTATATAGTTATTTTATTATATATGTATATTATTTATTAATTATATATATACATTTTATTTTAGCCAATATCTTTAACAAATAATAAAGCACAAGGTTAAACAGAAGGAAACAAAATTTATGTTTCTTATGATAAATATTGTTTATGGACTCTGATCTGCCATAAACAGAACTTTAACAGACTATTTTGCACTTCATTTGGAGACGGAAATATCAGCTAGACAAATATAATTTCGCCTTGAAATAAATATGCTCGTCTAATGTAAAATAAGAAGTTCTTCGGGCTCAAATTGGTAATTTGAGCGGAAACCGGCTAAAAAACAGAAGCTGTTCGTTTTGTTGACAAAACTGAAAGACAAATACAAAAAATAACAACTTGTGTCTTATAAAAAGTCATTCAACTGCATGGCAGACCCTTGAGAATTTGATACAAATTGATACAATATGGATGTCTCTCCGTCTGCCTCTCTGTCTGTCTGTCTGTTGAGTTGTTTAACATTTTCACTGCTTTTGTGGATTGAAAAATGTTCAATAACATCAACAACAACAACTGCGACGACGACGACGATGACATGGCCTAAAGTAAACTGAATATGGCCAAGTCGATCTCAGGCGATTAGACAGAAATGGTAATACAAATAGACCTACATTGGGCAGACGCCTTACACGTAATTGCATTAAAATTGTTTTTTATTTAATACTTGTTCAAAAAGTGAAAAGAGTATATTGGTTTTGTGGCATGTCTGTCTTGCTGTCCAGTTAGAGAGTTGAAAAAATTCCCCATTGGGTGCGTTTATTGCTCAGTCTTACGGCTAGTTTGTTGGCATTTTAAATGAGAACTACTCTTGAGCTCTTCTTGAGATCATTCCAAAAATATATATAAATATATCATTCCAAATATATGTATTATTAGCGGGTATACCCCGTGCACGTGGCACGTATAAAATAAATTCTCTGAAAGATCTTTGAAAATGATTTAGAAACCGATCGGAACGTAAACAACAAAAGTTTCATACAAACGTTTTTTCGCGCTTTTTCCACACATGCGAGTGGAATTTCCCAAAAGCCCGTTTTAAAGTGCACCTACATCACATAAGGTAACTACAATCACCAATCAGTCAATCAGTCAATCAATCAGTTAGTTAGTCAGTCAGTCAGTCAGGCAATCAGTCAATCAATCGGTTAGTCAGTCAATCAGTCAGGACAATCAGTTTTATATACAGAGATATTGTGATTTGAGCTGGAAATTTGAAATATACATATATTATCTCAAATATCACAAGCAGAATAAGTTTATCATTTTATATAGATATATTGATATTTCATTGTCCATAATATCGACAGATAGATATTTTGTGAGATCTGACTCATTAAACATTTATAAGACCTACACCCCACACCCCATAGATATTTGATGTAGATCATATAGATAGATCAAATCGATACCCCCCACAGTTCTACTTAAAATTGAAATAAAATTATATTTGAAAGGAAGAGCTTTGCGCTTTGGTATGTGCACGCCTTTTAGTGTGATAGATAGATTCTGAAAATATGTAAAAGATCGGTCTACAAAAAACGAAGTTATTGGAGGACGGTTTCCCTATAAAGTGGGGTTAAGACTAGAAGAAGCGCGGCGAGGTTATGTGTGTGTGTGTGAATTGTGAGTCTATATATAGGCAGCTAGAATGTTTCTTCTGTTTCTTCATTTTTTGATTACACGAAATCTATGTGGATATGTGGAGCTCCAAGTCGTTGGCTTCTGTCTGCATTCAATTGCCAGCTGCTGCTCGGCGTCTTCTCTCTCTTTCTTCTCAGAGTCTCTCCCTCTCCCCCTCTCTCTCGCCCTGTCTCTCTCTCTAGATAAACGCAACGATAACGGCATGCTTTCATACGTAATTTGTTTTACGATTGGAAATTAAATTAACTTGTTTTGCAGCCATTACCAGCAACAGTCCGACTCCGTCTCCGTCTCCGAGTCCAACTCCGAGTTGGACTCTGGCCATGCCCAATGTGGATGGCTGCCTGTGGATGGACGTCAGTTGATCGTTTGCCATTTTGCAATCATTTCACATAGATAGCGTTCGTTTTGGCCAGGTAAAACTGTCATAATGAGTCGGTTATGTGTGGGCCATTATATAAAATTTCACTTTTCGCCACGCGGCCAAAAAGGCTCGTTTAACCGAGAGCGGGGACAATTTTAATGCAATTTCTTCAAATTGCGCACAACCCTGGCCCGAGACACCATCATAACGAGTTCATTAATCGAATGATCACTGTACTGCACAAAATGTTGGTCAATAAAGCAAGTGGAAAGTCTATTATACAATCCGAAAGATAACACGGCTTTATTTATGGCACAAAATTCGATCTTCGATCTCATTTGAAGCAGTCGTCGATGCTGGGCAGATTGCCGCTGCAGTACTTCCAGGTGGACCAGGCGGACCAGCCCTGCTGGCCGAGCACCTTCTGGGCGCACCTGACCGACTTGGTGATATCGTCCGAGAGCAGCGCCTTGCAGCTCAGGCCGCAGCCGTTGCTCGACTTCTTGCCGCTGGGCGGCTGGCACCAATAGCGATCGTTGATCTGGAAGATGCCGTAGTCATTGGATCCGTCCGAGTTGGCTGGACCCACTACGCCGGTGCGATAGGAGCTCTCGTGCTCGGCAATGCAGGTCCACTTGCTCAGCTGATCCCGCGGCACGCCCAGCTTGGCCATCTCCCGGGCCAACGAGCAGCGGTCCATGGTGCGACCCAAAGCCGGCCCGGCCCAAACCAGAGCCACCAGGAGAACAACAATGAAAGATCTCATCTTGCAGTGGAAGGTGCGAGTTGCGAGACTTGCGACTGTTCCCTCTAGCTGGCATCGATTGCAGTATTTATAGCTTGTGGGGCAGTTGGGCAAATAATTGAACGACACAAAAATGAGGGCACAACTAAATTAATTATAGTATTTGCCAATATTTCCAATGTAAATACGGGCGATAAGAAGAATCAACTCAGCCGATGAATCATGCTCCTACAATGCATTACGACTCATTAGCCAAGCTGACACAATCTCAAATGCGTTGCGCTTGCAGCTAAACACAGCTGCTGAAGTAGAAGACTATATCTTATCTTATATAGTTTCTAGATATCAGGTGTAATACGTGAGCTGGTAATTCCGGAAAATATATTTACATTGGGGCAACTGCGAAACGGGGGCTCGAACCTCAGACTTCCCCATTGCTGTACTACATAATATTAGTAATAATATAAAAATAATTAGTAATAAATTAGTAATATAATATTAGCTGCTATTTAAAAGAATGCTTACTAGTATGCCATAATTAATATATATATGTTGCAAATAGAGTATACAGTACGTTCTAAGATTATGAGAAGTTTAACTGGAGTTCGAACCAGCATGAAGATCAAACCCCTCAAAGGGCCAACCTTTTAAAAGTCAGCGTATTTCAGTAGTTTATATTAAATTAAATTTCATATCAAGGCAGCTTATATTGCAACTACTTTTTCATAGTTCGGCTTACGGTTCGAACCAATGACTTCCCTTAAGGTTCAGTTCAGCCAGCCTAACGTCCTGGCAAGCAACTTGCTGAGAAGGCGAAAAAGAAGGAGGCTTAAAAGACCTACCCTACAGATCTGGCTAACCAACGGCTTTAGTGAAGCAGACCCTCAACAAAATAATCTAGCCCTAACAGAAAAATAAGGTTCAGTTTGAGAACCTAAATTGCCACTTAAATAAGTCTAGATTTGAGCTCGAGATTTGTTTTGCCAGATTCTGTAAATTTTTAAATGCAACAAAAGAAAAGGAAAATTAAATTAATATCTGGGCTTAGCTCCACTTTATCAAACTTATCCAATTTAAGTTTAGTTTCTTGGTAAATTAAAACATGGGAATTCCTGGCTTAAGCTTAATGTTATTAATGTTATTTATTTAAATATCCTTGAGCTTATTAACCATAAATTTGCTTAATTGTCTGGAAAATCAAACAATTATTAACAATAAGCCCAATCAGCCTTAGATCTTTGCATGTCGAAGAACTCTCCAACTAACAATGATGTAAGTCCTTATCTAAACTTTGGCTGCACGCGCCACTCCCAGATGATCTTCGATATGATATACATATATATATATATATGCATATATATATCTTATCTGCATTGGGCTAGTTAATCGCGGAAGAAGTTTCCTAATTTTGTTTGGGGCATTATTTATGCGAATTACTGATAAGCCGCAGCCCATTTGCGCAGCCAACCATACGAGTACTCACACTCACACTCACACTCACACTCACACTCACACTCACACTCACACTCATATTCACATTCATATTCACATTCATATTTATACTCGAATCATGACCTCGCACGCATCTTTGCAGCCACAATTATCTTTTCGACGTAACTAATTCCAAATATTTAGCCAGCTGGCATTGTCTTGGCTTGGTGGGGGACGGGAGGGGATGGGAGGGGATTTGGGTTGGGGTTCGGCGGGGCTTTGTTCACGCAATCTGTGAGGTTGCATGTTTTGTTGTAGTTATTTATTCATTGTGCGGCATTTGAGTTATTTGAGTCTGAAATTGCATTTGAGTTTTTTTTCTTTCACGTGCAGAGCTCGTTGGCCAAATTCCCAGCTTTGGCAAGTTTAATGTCCGATCGTCGACTAGACTCGGTTTAACTAGCAATAAAATCTATTTTTTTAGCTACTTGACTTCACTTGACTCGTGCACGCGCCGCCGTTTAAAATTCAAAAACTCAAAGATTTTTCGCCTTATCATTTAAAGTATTCCATGACTCTTCGGAATATTATAAAAAAAAAAAAGACTCACATCAGATATCATTGGCATTGACAGGCGGTTAAAGGCCCTTTCTAAGTAGCCCAGCTGAAATGGAAAAAAAAATAAAGAGACCCAACGAATCTCAAGCCGTGGCCCATTGTAGACATAACAACAATTATGCTAATCAGGCCCAATGAGGTCTTTACCTTTCTCTATCTAATTCAATGAACCTTTGTGAACAATGTTGAAACATTTGTTGTTGTCAATAAAAACTGAAAGAAAAAAACACCAAGCTTACACATGATCTTGTGGAATTATTAGATCATTACCAAGAGATTTGGACAGGTTTGCGTATTTACGTCACTTGGGGCACTTAAGCATATGGCGCGATCCCGTTTTATATAGTATATAGTCTAAAGTTTTTCATTGATAAAGCATAAACTAAACACAGGTAACACTTCAAAGTGGCATACTTGAGTTTAAACAATATTGATTAATGAATGAAGAAATGTGCCGAATATTATATGCTGCGTAATAGAAATATTAAACAAATAATCGATCATAGAAAAAACATAAATATCAATATATACATATATATATGTTTACAACTGAGTTTTCTGTACATTTTTTCTACATATTTATTTTTTTTTTTAGGGTATTTGACAGTCGTACCTTTCGTTGCTAATCTAAATTTTGATTAATTTATATTTGTTTGCAATTTGTTGTCTTTCATATCAAAAGTTTCCAGAACAAACCGTCTATTTGTTTATTTATTTTTTGTCAGCAAACTTTGTTTAGGCAGATAAGACAAGGCTTTGATTAATGTAGTGCAACAAAAAGAAAAATAAAACTAACTTTAATCAAAAGCGATTAATACAGTTTATAAGTGCATATGCCAATTACAAAAATTCACTTTTCGAATTAATTGACAGTTGACAGACGGTTTCTCAAACAATCTGGCAACACGAAATGCTCTCAATTAAGTTGGCTGCGCATTAAGATTCCCGGTTCACAGCTAAATTTGATGTGTACACACTTAACTCGCGGCTGCTGCCTTTAAATGCATTTCCATTAGGCGCTCTTATCTACACGCTGCATCGACTGCGACGACGACTGCGACGCCGACGGCGACTGCGACTGCGGCTGTTTGGAGTGCGCGTCCGTCATCTTGTCATGCATGCTCTGCGCCTCCTGATCTCAATATTGTTTTTATTTTCTTTTCAAATTGATTTATGCAAATTCAACGCGTCTCGCTTGTTTTCAATTTACTATTGCTGGCCACTTGTTTTTTGATTTTACTCTGATCTTTCGACACTTTTTCTTTTGGGGCCTTGAAAGCTGTCCGTGCGCTGTGGGAAATGCCGGCAAATTGCAGCCGCACACATATCGCTGGCTCGTTGCTGCTTTAATCATCAATAGCAATAACAATTACCCATTGCCAGAGACCTCCCGCACATGCCAAGGTGTGCGCTGAAGCGCGGCGCACCTGTCCAAAGAACCAAGAAGAAGAAGTAGAATAAGTAGAAGAAGAAGCAATTCCATTGGCATGCAGAAAGAGACGTGACTGATGCGTTTTGATTGATAAATAAAATGAAATGTTGAATTTCATGGCATTTGCATTGAAGCACGTCATAATTTTAGCTCATTTGCATATGGCGATGCGCATTTCCAGAAGTTACCGTTAGAGCGCATTGTCAGCTAACGGTGCATTCGATCTCTCTCTCTCTCTCGCTCTGACTAACTAGCTGGCCGTTTATCTGAGCGCCTGGCATCAGTGAAAGTGCGCGCCTTTAGTTCGATTCGTCTATAGACATGTTAATTTTTTGACAATATTTTCGCTTACGCACCAGAAAACAAATAAAAAATAAAAAACCGCATTGAGTAACAAATCAACGTCCGTTGGCGATGCGACGTTTCCATCTGGCGCGTTAATCAGTTGACAGACGCCGAAGGAAGCGGCCACAGCCCACATTGCCCGTCGCCAGGCCGGGTGTCATTGACAGCAACTGGCTAATAAAAATAAAAATAAAAATAATTCAGAAAATGCTTAATAAACTGAATGTCTTGTTTTTCCGGTGCGTTACGTGCGGACAGGCGGACAGGCGGACAGTCGCCCAGGCCAGAGACCTGTTTATAGTTTATTTTGAATGCAAATTCAAGTTCTTCAATTTATTTGATTTTCTCCTATTTACTTCCAGTGACAGCTCCACGCTGCAGCGTGCACAGATGGCGCCCAGCGTCTGCGAAACTTCGCCCAAGTTGCCGCCACACAATGCTGCTGCTGCAGCTGCTCCTTCTCCTGCTCCGTCTCCGGCTGCGGCAACGTCCAGTGTCAAGTGCGGCGGGAGCAGCTTGAATGGTTCGCTGGCTTCGTATAAGATGGCCGGCTCGGAGCAGAGCTGGCCGCAGGCGCCCGTTTACAGCAAGGAGAATCAGCGTCCGCCCGTTTACAATCCGGAGGATTATGTGCTCTCCCTGCGCAAGTTAACCAAAGGCAGCGGCTCCACCAAAGTGCAATCGATCTACGATGTCAGCATCAATGGCCATGCCAAGGAGGATGCCTACAAGTCCGCCACGCTGCCGGCCAAGCACTCCGGCTACAAGTAAGTGCGTCCAAGTCTGTGGCAACTACCTGACTCATGTGCTCCTTCCACAGAAGTCCCATTCCGGCGCCGCCGGAGAGCGACAGCGAGATGTCCCTCCGACAATTTGGCTCCATAACCGATCTGCTGACCAAGCTGCGCGCCGATCTGAGGGTATCCTTTCCCAGGTAAATTCAAAACGAGTCTCTTTTCCTTGAATCTCGAATCCTGAGCTGGAGCGAGACACACAACCTGGGAATATCTACTTAATGGAGCTGAAGTTTCCTCCTTCTATACCCTTTCCATATTGTTTGCCCCATTTGCAGCTTTGTGCAGGAGTTCGTGGCCACGCCCTCGGATGGGATCAGCCATCTGCTGGAAGTGCTGCGCGCCATCCAAATGGCGCAGGCGAGCAATGCGCCCGCTCCGCTGGCGACGGCGGGAGGCACCAATTCCTTGGCCATGTCCCGCAATCCGCAGAGCTATCAGCGCCGCGCGCTGCTCGACGAGCTCTCCTGCCTGTGAGTAGCCACCCAGCCGGGCAACTCGCTCCTCCTCCTCCTCCTGGCTAATTCTCGTTGTTTTTCTGCCCGCAGACAATGCCTGAGCATTTGCTGTTCCCGCTCTCTGGATGCCATAGCCCGTTTAGGCAATACGCCGGTTGGTTTGATGCCGTTGGCCTCCTCGGCGACGGGTCAGGGCATACGCGGACGGATCCTGGCGCTGCAGCTGCTGGCCGCCGCCTGCGATCGCCAGCCGTTTGGCCAGGGCAATGGGGGCCAGAAGATCAGCGCCGCCGGCCACACCGCCGTCTCGGAGGCCATGTCCACGCTGCGGCTGCGCTGCAGCGAACCGGTTCGCTTCCGGCTGCTCATCGGCATCCTCAACAGCGGCGGCGGCTCCGGCGAACTCCAATGCGCCGGCATCAAGTGAGTTGAAGAGTGGAAGACTTTCCGGGAGCAGCTGCTCAACATTCGCTAATTCCTTGCAGATTCCTCAACACGTTCATCGAGAGCGCCGTCAGCCTGCAGCAGAGGCTGTATATCCAGGCGGAGCTGTGCCAGGCTGGCCTGGAGACCGGCACGCTGGCCCGCACCATATCCTCGTCCTCGCCCTGGCTGGACGCGCTGCGCGCCGAGATCAAGCGCTTCAACGAGCTGCACATCGACGTCGACAAGATGCTGGCCCAGGCACGCGACGCGGATCGCGTGCGCAGCCAAATGGTCATTCTCGAGCGTCGCGTCCAGATACTGCACGAGGAGAAGACGGTGCTCACGTCCATGGAGCGACGCCTGCAGGAACGCTGCGCGGAACTGCAGCGTGAGATCTTCCGGCTACAGGGCGCACAGGAGTCCAATTTCAAGCCCGTGGAGGCGCATCAGCCCGTCGCCCTGCCGCGCCAGGTGACGCCCAACTCAAAGACAGCGGCGGCGGCGGCGGCGGCGACGACGGCGACGGGGGGCAGCAAACAGAGCTGCTCGGAGCACGAGGATGAGGGCATCAGCAGCTCCGAGACGGGCGCCTCGCTCAGTCCAGTGCCCATTCTCGTGCTGCCCACCAAGTCCAAGCGCAAGACGAAGCGGGCCGAGAACGAGGACGAGGACGACGATGCAGCCACCATCGAGGATGTTATCGGGCAGCTGGACAACATAGTCAGCGAGGCGGAGAAGCAGATAGCCAAGCACCATTCGCATCCGCGTGTCCTGGAACAGGAGCAGGACATCGTGCCGGTTAATATTGTGCCGCAGCCGCCGCGGAAATCGCGATCCTTGGCGCATCTGGTGCCGCGCACGGACTGCTCCGACCAGGAGAACTCCCATTATGGCATGCTGATGCCGAGCGACGCGGCGGCCGTGGAGCGTCTGGCCGCCATGCAGACCTTCTTCGATGAGGTGGACTACGAGGCGACGCACACGGATCCGCATGTGTCCTCATCGGATATGCCGGAGGCGGAGGCGAATGCCACCGCAACGGCCTACAATGCGAGCACCAATCGGGAGCTGCTCGACGTGATTATGAATGCACGCCACGACGAGCACGATCCAACCATCTTGGCCCTGAGGAACAGCAGCCAGGAGGCTGCCGTCAAGTCGCCAGCTCCGGCTCCGGCTCCGCCGACGCCGCCCGCCCAGCACTTCAACGGAGTCTTCTTTATGACGGGCATGAACACGCCCCAAAAGTACCCCAAGCCAGATCTCACGGCGGCGCTGCAGGCGCGTCGCGTGACCAAGAACGTGGAACGCCTGGAGGCGGCCTTCGCCTCCGGCTCCCACGACGGTAACCATGTCGATGCGAGCATCGTGCGGGAGAAATCCCGCAGCAATCAACAGATCTATTTCAGCAGCAATCCGGCCATGCGCATGCACGAATATCCCGGCTCCGGCCAGCTGACCGGCAACATATCCGCACGCACGCGCTCCTATACGCACGGCTCCAAGGTGACGGACCTGCCCTCGGGCTTGTACTAAGGCGCCGCCGCAGTTGCGCCCAGCTTATCCAGCTCCTGTGCAATACAAAATCCACTCTTAAGCTTACGTCTATATATATGTTAATTTTTTTTGATGTAATTCAATTTTTATTATTTTTAATAATATTTAGTATTTCGTAGCATAGATTCGGTGGCAGCTTCAATCGGGTCCCTTAGTCTTAAGTCAGTTGGAATTAGCTCATTTCCAGCTTAAACACTTTTTTACTTTTATAATATCAACTATCAATATTTATATTTTGCATACGAACAATAAATACTTTAGTAGACAAAACAAAAAATAAAAGGTTTTTTGCTGCAAGAAAAAATTAAATCTTTTATAATCTAGCCTCTCTATGCGATTCTCATGAATTCATATAAGGCATGATTTATTAGAGTTGAGAGTCGAGCTTAGAAGCAGTCGTTGATGGAGGGCAGAGCACCGTCACAGTAGTGCCAGGTGGACCAGGCGGACCAGCCCTGCTGGCTGAGCACCTTCTGGGCGCAGCGGACGGAGTGGGTGATGTCGTCGGTCAACAGGGCGTTGCAGCTCAAGGCGCGCTCGTTGTAGGAGAAGCGACCGTTGGGAGGCTGGCACCAGTACAAGTCGTTGATCTGGAAGATGCCGTAGTCGTTGGAGCCGTTGTAGTTCTCGGGACCGACCACGCCGGTGCGGAAGGAGCTCTCGTGCTCGGCAATGCAGGTCCACTTGCTCAGCTGATCACGAGGGACGCCCAGGTCGGACATCTCGCGGGCCAGGGAGCAACGGTCCATGGTGCGACCCAACGCGGGGGCGGCAAAAGCCAAAGCAACCAAAACAATGAAAGCCTTCATGATTGAAACTTCAGAAAACTGATGTCGAACGTCCCAAGAGCTCGAGCTGTTATAGGCCGGGAATATCTCAAAATAGACGCTATCTGCGATACGGAAAATGCCACGGCGCAAAGAAACTTGCAGGAACTTTAATCAAAGTGTGTATACATTCGGCGATCGCAATTAATATGAAAATTGATAAAAGAGTGCATATTCAAGATTCGAAATCTCTTTGCGGCAATCAATTATATAAATGTGTTTATTTAAAGTGATTAGTGATAATAAGAAACGAAAGCAAACGACTTACATTAATAGATGTCCAGAAATGCGATTTACATATTTATGTATATCTATTTTACATAGATAAATAAATTCTGTGTTTAAAACTAAAACCGTTTTGCCGCCATGCTCAACCGCCAAAGATTTGAAATCGTACAGTTTGAGAGTCATAGGCGTTTCGATAGTCGATTCGATATCGATGGCTCGATAGACGATATATTGTGTTACTTAACATTTGAAATCTGCAGTTCATAAATATATTTTTTGATTTTACAGAATAATTATTCAAGCAGTCTTTTCTGCTATTAACAGTTTTCCCTTTTATAACAGTTTAAAGAAATATTAATTCGCTGCTCGCTGCTATGAACCTCAGCTGAACCAGCGAATCAATAGAACGAATCGCTTTAGAACGAACTTGTTATTAAAAGTGATTCGTCTTGCCGGAGGGCTCGTAGTAACTTAAACTAGCAGGAGAAAAAAGTACAAATTAAAAGTGATTTTGAAAAAGTGCTTAAAATATATTTGGCGTTGAACAAACGGCGGCGAAATGTTTAATGGTTAGCTGCATATTAAAGTTAAATTTACTTTTGCTATTCTTGCGGCTAAATTGTGCAACATTCAACTTGACAACAAGAATAACTGACCCCGACTACATACAGACGCACAATCAGAAAAAAAAGGAGATAATATTAGAAGCCTATATTGATTCACTTCCAAGCGAAATTGAAATAGGGAAAGAACAGAATGTGGCATCAAAGTGCAAATCTAGCAAGTTGAAAGGGAATAGCAAATATGTCAGCAAATTCTTTGCGCTTGCATATTATATTCGCACATGAGTTTCATGCACAACACAAAGCATATAATCTGTCGATCTAGTTGAGTCACGGTTGAATCGCTGAGACGCTGATGAGGGCGCATTTATATACTCTATCCCAGGCGTGTGTCATCACGGCTTTAATAAGCCAATTGCGACACACTAATCCGCAAAAAGAAACAACAGTTATTAAGTGCTCGTTTTAGAGATGGGCGCGTGAGCCACTGTTCGGAATCACGCACATCCAAAAATATCCAAGAACTAGAATAACTTTTTGTGGCATTTGTCTTAAAATAGTTCCTTGACTCTTTACAATAGCAATAATATTGAATTTTATTGTTGAATGCTAATGAAAACATTATTTAAGATATTTTAGATATTGTTTTCATTAGCATTCAACAATGAAATTCAATATCATTGCTAGCATTTCTTAAAAATATAAACTAATAATACAAAAAAACATAAGTTTTGTTTTATCGCAAGTCGTGTTAAGTCGTGCGTATTCGGGACACAAAAGAAAACACGAACAAGTCACGCACTATAGGGGAAAACCGAAACACGCGCCCAGCTCTAGTTCAGGAGGAATCTCATCTATGTTAATTCCATTTATTGCAGGGTATCTCAGCTTCGCTTTAAAGATTTATGCAACTATTATTGCCAGCCTTTGTGTAGAGAATCGGATGTTGTTATTGATTTGTCGACTGCATTTTACCGTCGTCTCCCGCACTCACTCTCTCTCTCTCTCGCTCTCAATTTCTGTGCCTGTGTCTCAGTCGCAGCAATAGTAATTTAGAGAACACCTTCTACGTAATAGGCGCATACCAAACTAACAATTGACATTGCTATACATTTATTTTCTGTAGGTTCATCGCTTACACACTCAAATCTCAAATCGCACTGACATTTTTGCCCTCCATCCTCCATACATCATAATCAAGATTCCAAAGTTCAAATTCGCATCAATTTCAAGTTTGAAGTCAACAAACAGATCATACGGAAGCCATGTCTTGGATGGCCTTTGGAGCGCTAGCCTCCGGCTTTGGTATTGCTTATAAATGTTCCATGTTCATTGTTGTTGTTGTTGGCGTTGTTGTTATGTCCTGTAGCTAGCCAAGTGTGGCGTCTTTAGGTAGACTCTACTGTACCTTCACTAAATAGCTGTCTTTTCACAGTACTGCAGCGCCTGCTGGGCGGCGACAATCCGCCGAACAAAGTCGTGGAAATCAAGAGCGAATCCCTGGGCACACTGCAGGTGATGGCTCGCGATGATGCCATGGTTCTGTTTGCGCCGCCCTACAACAGCAACGATAAGCGCGCCGTCTACGAGATCGTGCTGCAGCGACCCACCTCCGACTCGAACACCAGCTCCTTCAGCCTGTACCGTTCGCCGCTGCAGCAGGAGGCCGAGGAGAAGTTCAATACGTTCATGCAACGCCTGCCTGTGTTTGTGGGCATTGTCAAGGAGGTGAGTGAGCTGCCCGAGCGAGAATGTTCCCTTGTATTAAGTTCTCTTCATTTGCAGTATTACAATGTAAATGGCTTGCAAAAGGTTTGCGATGCGCTCTCGGAGAACCCGTCATGGACGCTGGCACATTTGGTGGCCTACTTCAATCTGATCGAGTACCTTAACAATCCCAAAGTGCTCCAGTGCGTCGATGTGGCCGATCATACAACGCTTATGTCACCCTTTCAGCTGGCCATTAAACAGGGCAATATTGAAATGGTGAAGCTGATGTTGCCGCTGAGCAAAATCGAGCATCTGGACATAAATAGCAACTCGGTGTTCCACTATGCCGCCAGCACCACCAAAGAGATCATCAATGTGAGTCGTGCTCCAAGGTAGCCCGGTAGCATGCGTTAACTCAACTCTCAATGTTCCTCTTCCGCTGCAGCTGCTCACCGAAAACAGCACTGTGAATCTGAATCACCTCAACTCGGACGGATACACGCCGCTGCACTTGGCCTGCGTAACGGACAAGCCGGAGAATGTTAAGGCTCTGCTGCTCGCCGGCGCCGATGTCAATTTGAATGCCAAGAATATAAGCAAATTGTATAAAACATCAACGCCCACTTCGGTCGCCTCCTTCCTACGCACCAACGCCAGCAAGCTCTACACGCAGGACATGAAATATGGCGGCACACCACTTCACTGGTGCTCCTCCCGCGAGACACTGCACGCCCTTATCATGGAGGGCTGCGATGTGAACGCGACCAATTTTGATGGACGCACCGCATTGCACGTTATGGTGGCGCGCAATCGTTTCGAGTGCGTGGTCACGCTGCTCGCCCACGATGCCGACATCGATGTGCTGGACAATGAGGGAAATGCCGCTCTGCACATTGCCATCGAGAAGAAACTGGTGCCGATTGTCCAGTGTCTGGTGGTCTTTGGCTGTGACATCAATCTGAAGAATACAGCTGGCAAAACGCCGCGTCATATGGTTGGCAATGATGCCAGCGGCAACAAGGAGGATGAAATACTCTACATATTGCATTCGGTTGGTGCCAAACGCTGCTCCGAAGCCAATTCAAAGTGTCCGCCCGGTTGTAATGCCAAGGGCAGCTACAATGGCATACCGCCAGAGCCGCCCGAATCTGTGGAGAAGCGCGAGCACATTGAAAATATGCTGGCAACCACCAGTCGTCAAATGGTTGGTGGTTTCCTAGGGGCAGCAGCCAATGGCATCATGGAGAAGCATATGCAGCCGCCAACGTGAGTACACCCACAGCTTTGTCTTGGAGTATTACGAATATCTTTTTAATTCACAGCGTGCCCGTCGTGGTTGATACGGAGAAGGAGCAAAAAGGTCAGGGCATTATGGACGCGCTCTTGGGCATGTTTACCACCAAAGTGAATGCGGATGAGGGCAAAAAGGTTAACTCATCCAGCAGTGCAGCATCTACCCCGGGTGTAGCTAGTCCAGAACAGTTGCCGTCGCCAACATCACCCATTGCCGCCGAGGTGGGTGACAAGCCATACGGCCGTGGTCGTGTGCTGTGCCTGGACGGCGGCGGAATTCGCGGCCTGGTGCTCGTACAAATGCTGCTCGAGATTGAGAAACTATCGCGTACGCCCATCATACATATGTTCGACTGGATCGCCGGCACCAGCACTGGCGGCATCTTGGCCCTGGGTCTGGGCTGTGGCAAGACCATGCGCCAGTGCATGGGTCTCTATCTGCGCATGAAGGAGCAGTGTTTCGTAGGCTCCCGTCCGTACAATAGCGAGTACTTCGAAGCAATACTCAAGGATAATCTCGGCGAGTTTAATGTTATGACTGACATCAAGCATCCCAAGATTATGGTCACTGGCGTTATGGCCGATCGTAAGCCCGTTGATCTTCACCTGTTTCGCAATTACACCAGCGCCAGCGATATTCTGGGCATTGTGACTTCCATAAGTAAGTGCAGGCGAGGACATCTCTTTCCAGTAGTTCACAGCTAATCCACTTTTCAATGCATCAACATTAGGTAATCGACGCATACCGCCGCCACAGCCCGAGGATCAGTTGGTGTGGCGTGCCGCTCGTGCAACTGGAGCAGCACCATCATATTTCCGTGCATTTGGGCGTTTTCTGGACGGCGGGCTTATCGCCAATAATCCCACACTGGATGCCATGACTGAGATACATGAATATAACATGGCGCTGCGCAGTGCAGGACGCGAAGAAGAAGCTGTGCCCGTCTCGGTCGTTGTTTCGCTGGGTACGGGTCATATACCCGTTACGGAACTCAAGGACATTGATGTATTTCGGCCGGAAAGTATCTGGGATACCGCCAAATTGGCCTACGGCATTTCTACGATTGGTAATGATGCAGCTAAAGAGATGATTTTCCTACTATTTATAATATTTATTATCCTCGTTCAGGTAATCTACTTGTGGACCAAGCCACCTGCTCGGATGGCCGCGTCGTTGACCGCGCTCGCGCCTGGTGCAGCACCATTGGCATACCCTACTTCCGATTCAATCCGCAGCTGAGCGAGGATATTGCCATGGACGAGAAGGATGATCAGAAGCTAATCAATATGCTGTGGCACACCAAGGCCTATATGCACACCAATCGTAACAAAATAATTGAGATGATTAATTTCTTGAAATAGCGCGCAAGACGGATTTAGACCGCGCCCACAGCAACCCCGGCTTCCCTTGCTCCTATATAGCTAATCTCTTTTAGAGTTTACATTCTTCACATATGTGTATATACTTTTAATATTTTAAACATTTCCCAGCACCCTTTCCCGCGGTCTAAATCACAAACACGCGACGCACATTCAACCATTAACACACCGAATATTACCCAAACGAAAACAAATTTAAACAAATAAAATGTTTGAATTATAGTGAAGCCCAAAATAAGATTCCACGTGATGTCATGGGGCGACATTTAAACACTTGCGCTTTGAAATATTATGTTAATGGTTAAGAAATTTAGAAAATTTTGAATCTGGCGTTGCATTACTTAAATCTGTATTATTAATATGCGTATTTATTGAATGAATGTTCATGTTTTTGCCAATTGGATTGTAAACTGTATGTTTTAAACATTCCGTGCCGCTTTGTTAGTTAATAGAAATACATGTGCAGGAATTTTGAATAAAAGTTTTAAATGTAAAACAATTGACGTTTTAATTTTTGCTAGTAAATACATTACTACCGGAATAAATATTGGAAAGACTTGTTTAAAAGTTTAACAGCTTTTCAGGACAGCAAAAAATTCTTTAAAAATTTCCATAAATCAAATCAATGTACAAAAAGATTTATTTTCGGGATGTATTGATAATACGATTCGGATTTAATTCAGGAAATTCGCCGGTATGGTGGAAAACTTTTCTAAAAATATCAATAAATAATAAAATATATAAATATTCGATACGCAGTCAGTGCAGAAAAAAGCTTTTCATGTTTTTGCGATATTCACGAAATGGCGCAGCGTTGCCACCTGGGGCGCACGCGCTGGCAGCGCCAATCACAACGCGTTGGCAGCCTGACGCACAAAATGTAAACAGGAAAAAAAATCGAGAAAAATACAAACAATACAGACAAAAGTAAGAAGCGCGTGAAGAAAAAGATAAAAAATTTTTTTTGTGTGTGCAGACGAACGCAACGCAATAATATTTCAAATAGCAGGTCAACGCAACTTACGCACACACGACGGCCATGTCCAATGACCGTGTGGACACGGGCAAAGAGGTGCCACCTACAGTGGCACAAGAACCAGAATCAGAGCTGCCCACCATGTCCATGCCCACAATGCCAGTGTCGAAGGGCATTATGATAACGCCGCCACCGGTGATGCCCCCAACGCCAACATCGTCGCCAAATACACACGGCGAGTGGCCCAATCTGAATCCAAATGCGAACACATTCCTGCTGAGCAGAGACAGAGTGGGGGAACGGGAACATTTCGCCCTGCCGCATCTACCGCCATTACCGCTAAACGTTGACTATCTGCCGAGCCTGATACATCCGAGCACACTGCCATCGAGCAGTAAGAGCTTCAAGATGCGTCCCCGCATGAAGCGTCTGATGTACTGCAGCTACAACAACATATTAACCGAGTCAAACAATCGCAAATTGCGTACCGCCGCTTCCACCTGCAATATTGAGCTGCTCAATCGGATTCTAGAGTCGGGCGGCAATCCAAATGCCGCCGACGAGTTCAATCGCAGTCCGCTCCATTTGGCCGCCTGTCGCGGCTACATACCCATTGTGCAGCAGCTGCTGAAATACGGCGCTAATCCGAATGTGGTCGATTCGCTGGGCAATACGCCGCTCCACTTGGCGGTTATATCGGCCAGTTCCAATAACTTCAATGTGGTTGTGCGTGTCCTGTTGCAGGGCGGTGCCAGTGTCCATATGTACGATCGCAGCGGCAAATCGCCACTGGAGCTGGCGGAGGCGAAGTTGCGGCTGCTGCGCAATCGCTACGATCATCCCACACCTGAAACAGCCACGATTCTGGAGGATATGTGCATGCTAACCACGCTCATATTACGCTACATGGTCAAGCAGCAGCAGGAGCTAGAAGATCTGTCGGCGCTGGAGAAGCGCCTGCAGAATCTCAGCACCAGTGATGATCAGGAGCAGGTGGTCTCCCAGACGGCTGACGAGCTACTCGCCAGCGTCGAGCGTTTGTCCATCAACAACAAGTAGAAGAAACCAGGCTCAAATTCTGTTTCGATCAGTTGGGTGAGTGCATCGACTGGGCAGCTTTCGGAACGGATTAATTAATTAACTATTTTAAATATATTGTTAACTTTTCAGTTTATTTTACGTTTCCTAATTTGGCTGCCGTTGAGTTAGAGTTGGATTTGTGTGACTAAACTCTGGATGCGCACCGGAGCACAAATACACAGCCAACGCTCACACACACACAAATACACACACACATTGTTTCATGCGATCTTTTTTATTAAGTATTTCATATAAGTTTTCATTGTTTATGCAAACAAACAACTCACACACACACACACACACACACAACCAGCAAACAAATATGTTTAAATTTTAAGCTTTACGTTTAGCGCGCCAAAACAAAATAAAATTTATGTAATAAAGATGCAATTTGCGACTGCAACCACAATTAAACACCTTATAAAATGCAACATAACAATACATTTAACTACATAAGTGATTGCAATAATAAAAAAAAATACACACAAATCATTAAATGAAGTCCATTGCATACAACAGACAACTAAAAGATACTTTAAATAATAAAAAAAGGCTAAAGAAACGGGAACTAACATTTAACTTAATATTAAAGCAGGCTTATTAATTAAAACATGTTCTACAAATTTAAGAGACCTTAGCAACTTAAATTCGTAGATTTGTGACATGGCATTGAGTCTATTCTACAATAACCTTGTATCTGTAAAGGGAATGAATAAAAAAAAAGAAGGGCGTTGTTATGCCGCGGATTCGTAGGCCGTCCAAGAATATACTTCCTACATACATATACACACGCATATATGTGCGTAAATATTTGGATAAACGTATTCCTCCGCTATTTTGATTTTACAAAAAATATCGATACTTGCACAGCTGTTCTGGATTTCATCGTAGCGCATAAAAAGTGTGACCAGCCAAAAAAAAGAAATAAGCGCTCAGAGCTGAGCTTTTGGGGAATTTATGCAAGGGAACTTTCCTTTAAGACATTAGCTGACGATTGTTGTTTAAATGCAGGCAATAGCTGAAAACAATAAATTTACTTTGTCGACACACTCACCAAACCGTCCTTGCTACCGTCCTTTTAAGCCACAAAATAAATAAATGTAGTATGTATTGACGCATTCTCTCAGTATTGCCGCTTTCCCATCATCATAAGTAGATACCTCTATTGGCGCCAGGTTAAGATGTTTTTTTTTTACAAATAATTGTTTACCTACATTTGTTTTTGGGATTACAAATTTTTAACCATATATATAACATATTTTCACACTCGAGTTGGAACTTGATACATGCATAATAAAAAAGTTTTAATTTATATAAAAACAAACTTGGAACCTACTTCTTTTTAATTTGCATATATACAAGCGGTCATGAAATTTTTAATAATGCGAATACTACATAAATTTTACCCGTTTAGTTCAGTCGCTATGATTTGGATTGGTAATGTAATGCTAGCCAAACTGGGTGGGCTGGGAATGTTATTTAAAAAAGTAATTGTTCAATTGTTCTTGGCAAAGTACTTTGTTTTCTCCTCCGGATTGGGCACAATCTGCAGGAAGATATCAATTAGAAAAGTTTAAACGCATTTGATATAAGTAAATACTCACTGTATCGGCGCCTGGTTTCCAGCCAGCAGGGCACACCTCGCCGTGTGTATCAGTGTACTGGAAGGCCTGCACCAAACGTATTGTCTCATCCACGGAGCGACCCACGGGCAAGTCATTCATCGTTATCTGCCGCAGCACGCCACGCTGATCAATAATAAAGAGTCCGCGGAGCGCATGACCACTTTCCTCCAGATAGACACCATAGTCCTTGCTAATTTTGTGCGTCAAATCGGAGAGCAAGGGTATCTTTACACTGCCCAAGCCGCCCTCCTTTCGAGGCGTATTGATCCAAGCCAAGTGCGTAAAGTGCGAGTCAACGCTGGCAGCAATCACCTCAGTCTTGATCTTCCGGAACTCAGCAATGCGATCGGAGAAGGCAATAATCTCCGTGGGACAAACAAATGTGCTGCAAAAACAAATCTCATTAGTGAAGACATCGCCCAAGTTGATGAGAACTTACAAGTCCAGTGGATAGAAGAGCAGCACAACGTATTTACCCAGATATTGCGAGAGGGAGAGCTGGACAATCTCCTTGTTGACCACAGCGGTGGCTTCGAATGGTGGCGCGGGTTTGGAAACTGCAAGAAAAAGGGATCCTTTTTGCATATATACATATATTAAAAGCATAGTTTTTGCTACTTACTGACTGCCTTTGTGTACTGCAATTGGTGATCGCCCTTGTTCTCGCCGGCGGGATAAACTGAGCCACCGGCAAATGAGTAGCAGGACTCGTTATCCTCGTTGGCCTTGGCAACTGTTGCTGCTGCAAGCAGCAGGAGCGCTAAGCAGACGTAACTGTTCATATTGCCACTGGTTAATGTTGTCTAACTGCAAATAGAGGACACGTATAACTCTTTAGTACATGCACGCGATTGGCTACATTTACTCCAATTGGACACGCGACGCCTTCAGCTTCTGCAACGCCCACACACACACACACAAACAAACAACGCACTTTATAGCCACGCAGACAAATTTTCTGGCTCCAACTACAAATACCGATTGTCTATTGAGCAATTAAAGGGGTAACGGCAGCAACTATTGATAAGCGCTATCAATTTTATTCGCGTGCATTAAGTGGCACAATATATTTTGTAAGTTTGTCGATCGAAATTTTAACTGAATTTTAACTCAAATCACAAGTGGGAACAAAGCGTTTGCGATGCGATTACATGTCTATTTCCTGTCCGCATTCAATCCTTCATTGTTGCATATATCCAGTTTACACAGATGTTACCTGCTATATACAAAATATAAATAACTTTAACTTGTACAATTTTTGTTGATTTAGCAAACAAAACGCACGAGCAACACTTTGCCGGCTAGGGATGTGCTGACTAAAAACTATCGCATCGTGTTTCATATAATCATCGAGCACGGCACGAATATCATATGTGACGATATTTATTTTAAATGTTTTCTTTTCTTGTTAAGAAATTATTAAATAGATATTTTTCGTATTTACTTTTTAACTAATAAAATGAATTAAAATTATGAATAAAATTCTTACACCGTGTGCCCACGAAATGGAAAAAGGGTATAGTAAGAATTTGTCAATTTCTGTAGGTATAGTATTAAGATCAGAAAATCCTCAAGAATAATCAGCAATAGATTCTATTCACCTGGTATTTCATTTTTGCCTGAACTCTGTAATAAAAATTAATTTTTTTCCATTTTTGCATCATGGCAACTCTATTCACCAGGCAGATCATTTGCGCGGGCGATTTAAATGCGCAGTTAAATAGGTCAACATATTTTTGTATGCCAGCACAGAACAATATATAATTATTTGGTAAGACAAAATTAAAAAAAGTAAACAATAAAATAAGCATAAGGTTTTGGAACATATTTATCACGTGCGTCGCTTAACAATCTCCATATTGGCCAACTTGAGGATGCGATTGAAATCGACTTTAGTATGTGCGCGCCAATATTTGCAACGGCCCCACATGACGGCCGGATAGTTTGGACTCGATATGCCGTGGAAGAGGCGCGCTATGTTGCGTCCACTGAACGTATTGTCGGGATACATGTTGATGAGGGCATGCACATCGGCAATTATGTCATCATCCGGCACGTTGCTGGGCTGCAAGGATTAGCAAGAGTTACAGAAAGCATGGGCTAGCCGTGTTGCATGGACCTACCTCAATTTCTAGTTCCAAATCCTGTGGATAATCGTTGCGGAAATAGTTGCGCACAATGCCCTTCAGCTGGGTGCAGCGATCCTGCGGAAAATCAACGCTGCAGCATTGCCCGCACGAGCTGTAGGCCACGGCGGACAGCCCGTGTGCCACATACTGCAACTGGATGAGCTGAGTGCGCTCCTGTTTAACAGACCGTGTGTACAGCGTGTCGAGGGCGTCATCAATTTCCGCTTCCGTGAAATCACCCGGCGCCTTGATGCGAAAGCCCAGATCATAAAAGTTGACACTGATGGGCGAACGCTTCGGATAGCCATTAACTAGGGTTTAGATGAAATTATAGGAATTTAAATTACATTGATAAAGTGCATCATATGTACCCTGCATCCACTCCAGGTTCTTTAGCTGATACTTGACCACGCCGCTGTTCCAGCCAATGCCGGCGGCTATGTCTATGACGGAAAACTCAATTATGCTGGCGTCCTCCTTGAAGGTCTTGTGCTTGATCTGCAGAGCAATGGCCATGGCCAGCGGCGGGCACTCCTTGGCGGCGTGTCTAAGTTTTAAAGAATTAATTATTAACATGTCAAATACTAAAAGATTTACTTACTTTAGATACTTGGGTCCCCCGTATGAGATCACCTTGGCCATGATGTACGCGGAGCTGAGCACGTTCATGCACCAGCGCGGCTCCAGTTCCATATAGCAGAGCAGCGTTGATATGTTCTCGGCGGGTATATCCAGCGCTTCGACTGTTTGCTCCACCGAGAAGCCAATCTCATGACCGGGACAAACATGTGCACGTGCACCAATCGTATTGCTAAAATCAGCCGCATCCGCTGGCTCAATTGCAGTCGCAATCTCTGCAGAGTTTTTGCCCAGCTGCTTGTCGCAGCAGCAGGGCACAAAGATGCGCTGCAGCAGCTTGCGTATGACATGTCGATCAATGGAATTGGCGTACACATGACGTCGCAGCTCGTTCTGATCGCCGCCCTTGGCGTCCAGGAAGAGATGACAATGCGAGGGCAGGCCATCACGGCCGGCACGTCCAATCTCCTGCACATAGCTCTCGAAATTGCGCGGCATATTATAGTGTATAACGGCGCGAATATCCGGCTTATTGATGCCCATGCCAAAGGCAATGGTGGCCACCACAATGCGCAGCTCATTGGCCATAAAGGCGTTCTGTACGGTGCGGCGCCTCGAGGCGGGCATGCCCGCATGGTATGGCTCCGCCTGCCAGTTGACGCGCTTGCGCTTCTTCTTGGTCTGCTCTGGCGCTGCGTTCGATTTGCGCTCCTGCAGGCAGGTGCGTATGAAGCCGGCAATGCGCTCGCATTCGTCCCGACGCGTGCAATAGATGATAATGGATTGACAGCTCTCGAATCTGCAAGGGAAAAGATTTAGAGGCTATTCAGTGATTGAAGTTCCATTTGAACACTCACCTGGGGCTGTTGAGCAGCTGCAGCAGCGCCGCATCGCGGTTATCGTCCTTGGACACGGACAGTATGAGATTGTCCGGCAGCGGTATATCGCTTATAATGCCACGCTCGCCATCCACAATGCCCAGATGATTGATGATGCTGATGCGCGTGGGCAGCGTCGCCGTTGCGGTCAGGCCGAGCACCGTCTGCACGCCCAGATTCTTTTTGAGCACCTTGCATATCATCAGGTAGCTGGGCCGAAAATTGTGGCTCCACTGCGAGACGCAATGCGCCTCATCGATGCAGGCAAACGCAATGGGCGGCAGCTGACGCAATATGGAACCGAAGCCCGTGGCACGTTCTCCAGAGACCACCGCCTCCGGCGAGACGAGCAGTATATCAATCTCGCCATCGGCTATCAGCTGCTGGATCTTGATGCGCTGCTGCGGCGTTTGGTTTGTGTGCAGGCAATGGGCGCGCAGGAAATGCGGCACGCCCGTCACCTGATCCTCCATGAGAGACACCAGCGGTGATATAACCAACGTTATGGCACCCTGCCGGCGACTATATAGGTAAGCGGGCAGCTGATAACACAAGGATTTGCCGCTGCCCGTGCTGAGGGTGACCAATGTGGACAGGCCGCTCAGTATGCGCATCACAGCACGATCCTGACCTGCAAGAGATCAGGCTAATTAGAATTAATTGAAGTAGTTTGGAGAGGATCGTTTACCCTTGCGAAAGCTGCTGTGTCCAAACATGTGCAGCACCTCGCTGACCTCGTCCGTCAGCTCCTGCACACTGCCGTCCGCATTGAGATCGTAGAGTGGCTTGACGCCGCCATGCTGCGTGCGCCCTGCCGCTCCATTGGCTGAGCTGCCATCGAGGCCGGCCTGCTTGAGGAACTCCTCGGGTATCTTGTGGCCCACATAGCTTTTGATGGGCGAGGTGTGGGTTGGTTGGCTTTGAGCCGCATCGACAGCCGCATCCAATGCCTCAAAATCAATGTCCCCATCATCGCTGGACATGTTAACGTCCGCAGCAGCACGCTCGCCAGGCTCAGCCGCCTCGTCACTGCTGCTGCTGCTGGAGTCGGGGAACTGGTAGATGGCATTCGCGTTGGCGGCCTGCGGCAGTCGTTCAATGTTGCGACTATGCGCCGCCAACGCGCCCTGTGTTGCCATCTGCTCGGCCTCGGCCAGCGTGGGAAACGGTGATGGATCCTCCTCCAGCTGGGCGGTCAGTGGCAACAGTCCATCGCCCTTTATCTTGCACTGCTGTGCGAAATGTCCAACGCCGCCGCAATTGAAACAGGTGAGCACGCCGCCATCGCAGCCGCCCATGTCCATGTCCGGGCCGGTTAGGGCAGCCACTCGCTTCTTGTGCCTCCATTGGGTTTTCTTGTATTTGGTAAAGTTCATCGACTTCTTGCCACGTGCAAATTTCTTCTTTTGTATGTTGATGGTCACAAAGTTCTCATTCAACTTGCCCGATGCGATCTTCTCCTGCAGCTTTTTGCGCGCCGCATCACGCTTCTCATTCGGCTGTCCCGCAGAGGCGCCAGAGGTGGAGGAGAAGGTGGAGATGGAGGCAATGTGGGCAAAATTGCTGATGTAGCGCTGCGCCGTTTCATCGGCCTGGTCGAGTTCATCCTGCTTAATGCGGGGCACGCAGGTTATATCGCCCGACTCCAGCGCTAGCACATATTTGAGATCTTTGGGATCTAGTGGCTTCTCCTCGGGCACCTCTTCCGCCTCGGCAGCCATTGCTTTAGTCGCGGCTTTTGTTTTGGGCGCTTTACGTGGTTTGGCCGACTTTTCCGTCTTAGACTTGGCTGCTGGCTTCGCCAACCTTGGCTTGGGTGCTGGCACCTCTGACTTGGGCTTCTTTTCGGCCTTGGGCTTTTGCCTCTTTGCTGTCGCCTGCTTGCGTTTGGTCTTCTTGGGCAGTTCTGGTTCATAAGTGGCATCATCTTCTTCATCTGCTGAGAAATCTTTGCCGTTCTCGTTTTCCTCCGATGATTCCGATTTGGCAATTGTTGGCTTTTCTTCGGCGGCTGGCTTTGGCTTAAGATCAGGCGCTGCTGGTGGCGACTCGCTGGTGGGCATCACTCTGCGCCGCTTGGCTATGTGCCTGTACTCCGTTTGCTCCGTTTCCTCTTCGCTTTCGGCCACAACGGAATCTGAATCGGAGTCGAAGCGGACTGCAGCTTGAGCTGGAGCTGGAGCTGTCGGCTGTTCCTGCGGCACTTCGACTGGCTTTTCTGGCACTGACTGCTCCACGGGCATTGGCGATGCGGTTTTGGTTGCCTTCAGCTTGCTTAAATCTAAATTGGACAGCCCATAGTTGTGTTTCTTGGCTGGCGTGGCATTGTTGTTCGGCTCGGCTTTGGCTGTTGTGCTTGTCAACTGTTGCTCCAGCGAATTTTGCTCCGTGTTGCGCTGTAGCCAACCCTCATCCACATGCGTTTTGATGGGCTCCTTGCTGTGATCGGTGGCCAGCAATGCATTGCCCGCAATTACCTCTGCTGTCTTATGTTCCTGCGCCTTGCGTATGAGTATGGTTTCCAGATCGGGCAGCTGCTCTGCCAGCTCAGCGGATGCACCGTGGTTGGAGCCGGTGGCGCTTAAGTTGAGGGCGCTGCGTGAGAGCGGCTTGCGAGGATTGCGCTTGGCAAAGCTGCGCGTTGACTGAAACAGTTTGCTGCTGACACTAGCCTTGATGCAGGGCGTGCGCGGCTTGGCGGCGTCAGCAGACGTGGGCGAGGTCTCCACTACTATCGGTTGATGGTTGCTTACGTTCTCGCCCCAGGCACTTTTGTTTTGGGCCAGCTCTTCGATAGCCTCAAATTTACGAATGACATGATGCTCATCGCGATTGGTGAGGTTGCTGAGCGCCTGTGGAGTGGGCAGCTCCTTGATATTGGAGAAATTTTCGTTGGTTTGCTCCACCAGCGCTGTTATATCCAGCGGTAACTGCGGACCGCCATTGACGCTCTCTGTGCTGAGGCTTTGGTCCAACAAGGCAACACCCAGATCCTCAGACTGCGTCATTTCCAGCACATCGAAACCATCCTCGCTGAGCACATCGTTGAGTGTCTCCTCCAGAAATGATGTCTTTAGCTTATAGTACATCTTGTAGGAGTCGCGTATCTCCTGACTGGCCTCCCTTATGTCGTACTGCAACAAAAGAATAACAAATTTAATAAGCAGGGAACTCAAATGCATGGCTCTTACCTTGGAGGGCACACGGCCGTGCTTCTTTTTGAAATCCTTTTCCCATACTTTAACGCGAAGCTTGTACTTTTGGTATCTCTCTTTAAAAATTGAATCGTCCATGGTGCGGTAAGGTATTTATTAATTTTTGTCTACATTTAAACACAGGTAAGCAATAAACAAAAGCAGCACACACAATCATAACACACCTGTTTTTTGCTGAGCGCGCGCTTTTTCTGCAAGCCAATGTCAGTGTTGCCAGATTGTTGCAAGGGCAGTGAGCAGTGGCAATGCGCGCCAAATTTGAAATGATGTGCATGGAAAAACTCGGATCTAAATCTGCTTTCCCTGATTGACTGATTTATTGGCAGCTCAATGGTTCACTGTAATTACCTTTGGTGAATTAAGATTTTTGCGAACACTTATTTCACATTTATTCTACACTTATCACAAGATCCACAGTTCTGGGTGAAAACAGGTCAAAATAAATGAGAATAGAAAACACTTGAGCCGGACTAAGCCGGATAACACTAGATAGTTTGTATTTTGCTGCGCGTGTTTGGTTTTATTCAGTTTATTCGTTTTTGTTTTTAATAGTATTCAAGCTTAGCAATTGCAAAAGAAAAATGCATTCCACATGACACTGGAAACGTTTGGAAACAAAATCAAAAATTCTAATGTATGCGTGTAGTACACAGAATTCGTTAAACGAGGAATTACAAGATGCAAAATATCAGAGCGTAAGCGAGCGCGATTTTTGCCTATATACTTAATTCAATAACTAAAGTTAGACTTTTAAGACCAGGAGCGGGGAATTGAAATAAACGTGAATTCGGCGAGAATGTGAACAAGTTTTGTTTCTTTTTTTTGTTTTTTAGCGTGCGAATAGTGCATTTTGGTTGCGGGTCTTGGATGGTACGCCGTACGCCTCCTACATGAGTATCAATGCAATGTCCTCAGGCTGCATGGACGGGCAGCGCCAGTTGTACAAATAGTACTGCAAGTTACCGTCGCCGGCACCGAACTTGAGCGGCACAAAGAACTTCTTGTTCTCCATCAGATCGAGGGCATTGTAGACATCCATCTGAACGTTGCGCGCCGAGATCAGAGCATCGTTCATCAGATCCAGCCAGGGTGTCTTCGTGGACACGTTGTAGAATGAGTAGGCGGCGCGAACAGTCTTGTGCACGGGATGATGCATCACAGACGATGGCAGACAGTAGTAGCTAGTCAGATCGGTAATGTTGCCCTTTTCGTCAACGACAACAAAGCAATCGACAATGCCCTCTTTGGGTGTGAACCAATGACGGAACTCCTCTCTGGTGAACACCGGGCACATGGAGAAACGTTTCAGATACTCTTCGAGCAGCTTGTGCGCCTTGTCCATGTCCTTAGAGGTGATGCGGCGGTAGCCTTTCGTCTTGGGCTGATCGGGCAGTTTATAAAGTTTCACGGTGCGCTGCATGGTCATGTTGCGTGCCAGATGGGAGAAACGCACATCGACCAGCTTCTTGGGGTTCAGCGAACGATGCCAGTAGCGGCAGGTGGACACCGGCGTGGGCAGCACCACGCCAGCGGTATAGGCAGCCTGAAAGATGCCCTTGAGATTAACGCGTCGCGTTATCTCGCGTATTAGCACCGGGGCGACACGCTTGCTGCGCAGCTTTTTGTGCACGCACAGAAAGTTGATGTCCACCACCTTGAGGACCTTCTCGTAGGCGCGCAATTTGCTGGGTATGGCCGAAATGAAGCCAACCAGTTTGTTGGACTTCTCCACACGCACGCCCACATGCCAGTCCCGCTTCCAGCCGGGCGGCTGCAATGACCACTTCAGAAACTCCGGCTGATAATCAAAACGAAACATGGCATCATCGTCCTCCACATAGTTCTCGTTCAGCAGCGTATAGAGTTCCTTTAGGTCGCTGGCATCGTTCACATCCAGTGTTACCCACACAAAGCCGCTGGGCAAGGTGTACGGCTCGGCGCGTATCTCGGCAATCGCTTTGTTTGGCTCGATGCACTCGTTTGTGGTCACCATCTCGTTCAGCTTTGGCACCGGTTGCGTTGACCAAAATGTAAATTTCTTAGCCTGTTGCCGGGTGAGGGCCACGGCATCGGTGACCGCCTGTAGCAGTGCCTGCTTGCCTAAAATTAAAGAACAAACTTTAAATATTTATCTAAAAATGAGGCGCGGCGGAAAGCATGCACACACACATTCATAATATATATACTCCTGGCCTGGCCGCACAACCTAACCTCATTCTGCGTACCTCTCATTCCAATTGGATTTATGAACTTGAAATACTTACTAGAATCTGACGATATATTGGCGCCATTTTTGGCCAGCGTTGAATGATCCGCTGCTGCTGCTGACTCGTTCTCATTGCTATTGCTTGTGCTTGGCGCTGACCCTGGTTCCTTCAGTTTTAAGCCGGCAACGGCGCTTGCCAGCATTTGTTCAGATGCTGTTGCTAACTCTTTAGCCTTCTGCTGCAGTTCGTGCTCACTGTTATCATCTGGACTGGCTGCGGGCGCATTTTCGTTCGGCATTGCTTTGTTGCGCTTGAGGTTTGTAACGGGTTAATAAATATACGAGCAAAAAAAATAATTGCAATGAAATCGCAAGACTACAAGCAGCTGACTCACTGACGCAGCTGCCAGATCTTGCACATAAAATAGACAACAATTAATACTAAAACTAGAACAATTGCGGATGTGGTCACACTGATTGCGTTTTTGATGGTCATCGGTACTTTACAGGTGGCATCACTTACCGATCGTTATAATGTTAAATCGGCCATTCAAGAGTACATCCAAATGTATACCTATAGAAACAAAGTAGTGTGAAAAAAACGATTAGTGTAATATTCTCGCATCTGTGTAGGCAGCAACTATATTCAGATTAGACACTGCTAAGTAAACAAACAATGATGCTCTATATCGATAGTTTTGCAGTCTCTAATTTGAGTAACGATGGGAGCTGACGTTGAATTCAAATTCCAGCTCCGATTGCCAACTATCCGAGCCCCTTTATCAGTTTTAACAACATGCGGCTACAAATTGCATCAGAACAGAGAAAGCAATTAACTATAGCAATTTAACACATTTGGTTATGCTAGCTTTTTATGGCGCGTTGAGCGAGCACACAAAACAGCTGTTCAAAGAATAGAAAACAGCTGAGCGTAACTCGGGGTGAACAAAAATTACATCGCTTGCTGTGTGGGTAAACAAAAGTAAGGAAAAAAATAAACATGCAATGTGGATGTGGGACGCACACTTGCTGATAAGAACAAACAGCGCACGCGAAGAGCGACAGCGTCTCAATTGTAACATCGCCAGCCACAGTTGTCGTCACAATGAGTCTGACAAAAAAACGCCTTAAAATTGTTTCGGCCACCTCAATAATCGCTCTGGCACTTATCTATTTGTACAAAACTGTGTTGGAGGCCTCGGTCAGCGAGCCGGGCGGCAGCCCCATGCTGAATGCGGTTGAGGAACAACGCCAGTGGCCACCCACCGAGGATGCTGTCCAAAGGAATTTGCAGATCGCCTACGAGGCGCAAAATGCGCTGTTGCATCAACAGCGTCAGGAGATGCTGCAGACCAAGAAGCAGCTGGCCCATTTGGAGGAGCAGGTGCGCTCCCTTCAGGCGAGCACGCCGCGCAAATATCCGAAAGTCAAGTATCTGAACTACAAGAATCGCAAGCGTATTTTGATAACGGGCGGTGCCGGCTTTGTCGGCTCCCATCTGGTGGACTATCTGATGATCCAGGGACACGAGATCATTGTGGTCGATAATTTCTTTACGGGTCGCAAACGCAACGTGGAACACTGGCTGGGCCACGAGAACTTCGAGCTGATCCATCACGACATTGTGAATCCGCTGTTCATTGAGATCGATGAGATTTATCATCTGGCTTCGCCCGCTTCCCCGCCGCACTACATGTACAATCCGGTCAAGACGATAAAGACCAACACAATGGGCACCATCAATGTCCTGGGCCTGGCCAAGCGCGTCATGGCCAAGGTGCTGATTGCCAGCACATCGGAGGTGTACGGCGATCCCCAGGTGCATCCGCAGCCAGAGACCTACTGGGGACACGTGAATCCCATTGGTCCGCGCGCCTGCTACGATGAGGGCAAACGCGTCTCCGAGACGCTCAGCTATGCCTATGCCAAGCAGGTGAGTTCCAGCCGCTGACGTCATTCGATTCATTTACCGATTCCAATGCCATTCGAATATTTGTAAATTTGTGCAGCGATGCATTAAATATTTTCTATTGAAGGCTAACAAAACAGAAAAAAAAATATGACGAAGCGTAGATACTCTTACGGAAGTTGATTGGTAGTTCTTTCTTCAATCATATATTATCTGTAGATATTTAACTTTGCTTTGAAGGTAGAGTTAAAGTTTTCACATACAACTGTGGAATATGGGGGAAATTATGTTTTGGTATTAGGGACTGAGCTTATATTTACGGATCTATAATAAATTATTTGATCAGATAGACCGCAAAATAGTTTAAAAAATATTTTTTAGCTGAAACTAAAAGATCTTGCTAAATATTTGTTGTTTAACCAATTTTACTAAATCCACCTGCACATATTTCCATTTGGGCTACAATAGTAGACAAACCACGTGGAGCGCAAGAAGCCGATAATTACGTGTTTCTATTTTTTTTAATTTAAACATAAATTTTTTGATATGGTAAAGTTATCGGTGAACACGGACTAATCAAAATCCACATAGACAGGTGGAAAATAAGGGGAAAAACGGTTAATTACGATCTTAAGAAAATCAGTGGCCTTGAATCAGAACTGCGTAAGATCAGTTAATAGAAAAACAAATATAAACTTACAAAGCTAGCGAGAAATCGTACATACCCTTAGGCAACTAAGTCGCATAGAGTTCCGCATGCCAGCGCATCAATTCAGTGCGATAAAGCAGCGCGATAAGATATTAGACACATGCTAGAAGTATGTTTGGCATTCTATCCGATCGTAGTTGATGTTGTCCTCCATTTGCTTCTAGGAAAAGGTGCAAGTGCGGGTGGCGCGCATCTTCAACACGTACGGGCCGCGGATGCACATGAACGATGGCCGTGTGGTGTCCAACTTTATACTACAGGCGCTGCGGAACGAGACGATCACCGTTTATGGCAATGGCAAGCAGACGCGTTCGTTTCAATATGTATCGGATCTGGTGGATGGAATGATAGCGTTGATGGCGTCCAATTACACGCAGCCGGTGAATCTGGGCAATCCCGTGGAGCAGACAATTGGCGAGTTTGCGAACATCATCAAGCATCTGGTGGGCGGGCAGAGCGAGGTCAAACAGATCAAGGCCATGGAGGATGATCCGCAGCGACGCAAGCCGGACATAACGCGGGCCAGGAAGCTGCTCAACTGGGAGCCAAAGGTGCCGCTCGAGACGGGTCTGCTGCAGACCATATCGTATTTTCGCAATGAGCTCGCGCGCAGCGATCGATTCCAGGAGAACTCCAATAAGTACTTTGATTCGCCCGATCTGCAGCGCAGTCGACCGTAAATCAAAGTAAATCCTAAACCCTAAACAATATCAATAATATTTGTGTGCCTGTCAAAAGCCAATTAATGTAATTGGCAAACACGTCTCTAGTCTGCAAAATGTAAATATGACCAACGATAGCGCTAATCTTATGGCTTCCTAAACCCAATCCCCGATAAGCACGCTCTCGACAGTCTCTACCACGTTTGTTAAGAGTCTACAATGTAAGCAACAAAGGGTATTCGCAACACTTAGCTGTTCCCGGTGTCATCTAGTTGATATAGATTCTATTGTACAATTAATTCAACTGTTAACTTTCATAGTTCATCGTTGCAAACGGAATACCCTATGCCAAAGACAATATATTATTAACTATTTATATTGTCTTTGCCCAAACTATATAATTAGTGCATAAGTCTGCCTCTTTTGAGATGCCCTTGCAGCAGATTAATTTGATTGTCTATCTGTAGTAAAACTTGGCATATATTCGCCTTTTGCCGCAGGCATTCCATATGTCTGAGTCATGGAATCAGTATCATATAGTTTTATAGTAACTATTGGTCGAAAATTAAATTCTTGAAAGCTTTTTAGTTCTGTATTGTAACTAAATTCACCAAGTACAAGGCTAAGCATTTGAATATTATCAGTATCAAAGATATATGTTATAATGCTAAAGATCGTCGAAAAGTTCAGTTTGGGATGAAAAAAGGAAACTCGCCAAAAACTCTCCCCAAACTATGCTCCTAGCATACGTACAAAAGCTTAATATGTAACCATTATTTTATGTAGCTCTCATAGGAAGAGTCGTTCATAAAGCAATCACAAAATTTAGTTTTTTCAAAATATCTAACAAAGTTCCAAGAATTAAACTATTGAAGAAGCCGCTGAACTGCTAGAAATAATTTATCAGACTAAATACGACATAGCTTTCAAAGAAACTATGGATCGAAAACAGACTTGAAAAGTTTACAATGCTCTTAAGTAAAACAACCTAATATGCGACCAATATATAATATCGTACAATCGGTGTATAAACTATATAAATATGTCGTATATCTGCTATAAACTAATGTCTGCAAGGGTATTTAATCTTCGGCACAAACACACACACACACACCGAAGCGAAGTGTTCTTTCCTGTTACATGTTAGTCAAGTAGTTTTGGTAGTTGATTAAATGGCTCTTTAAGTTTTCAATACGATGTACTCTTTACTCTACGCATAATTCACATACACAGACACGCTATATACACTAGTTATGAGCTACACCTTGAATGCTTACAAGCTATAGGTTAGTAACTACAACTTAAACCGATATTTGCACCTGAACTTAGAAGCTAAATCGACTGGCAATTTACTGCTGCTGCTGCTGTTGGGAGCTGCTCCTGCTTGCGGTTGTGGCTCACTTTCACCTGGCCAGCGGTTCGAGCATCTCGAGAAACAGTTTCTTCATGTTGATGTGCTCGTCGCGTGCGACGCCGCGCCAGAAGCGTCGCAGTATGTCGTCCGCCTGCCGCAGCGAGGGCAGCAACAGCAGCAGCTGCTGCTGATGGGACACCGCGGACGAGTGGCGCAGCAAGTAGACGACATCGTTGAGCGAATTGAGTATGGTGTCGCGGAAGGCACGCAACGAGCTCTGATCGTCCAGCAGTATATCACAATTGGACAGCAGCAGTGCCTTCAGCAGATAGTATTCCTCGCGGCGTGGCGAAATGCGCTCCATGCGCTGTGCTATCTGGACACAATGATAGTAGAACTCCGTATAGCCGCACTCCTTGGCCAGCAGCTCGTCCATCCAGACGTCGGTGGCAAAGCACAGTTTGCCATTGAAGGGCAACGAGCGAAAGGTTAATTGCAGCGTTAGGATCTCAGCCCAGGACACTTGGAGCAGCTTCATCTGATCGTTCAATGGCAGCTCTATAAAGCCGGGTATCTGCTTGGCCCAGCCAATTACGCTGACCAGCTCCTTGTCGTAGAGATCGCTAAGTACACCAAGTATTTCGTGCGGATCATTGTTGTTGTTCTGGAAAATGCAAGTGCCATTCGGCGTGCCATTGCTGCTCTCCAGCTTGACGCTGCCGGAGGAGGAGGAGGCCTCGTCATTGCAGCTGGTCGTGTGTGGCTGCTGCTGTTGTTGCTGCTGCTGCTGCTGCGCTGCCTGCACGCTGAGCGCATCCGGCTCATAGGAGTTGAGCACGTCCAGTATTTTAACGTCGCACAGCGAAGTGGTGCTGGACTGATAAAGCAGCTGCATGGTCTGGTACGAATTGGACACCGGATTGCGTCTATATTTTTGCCGGCCGCCGCGCACGCGATCCAAGCGCACGCCCTCCTGCAAGAGAAGCAATATAGATTGTTATTAGAGTATTATTGTGGGAGCTTACTCTTGCTCTCCTATAAGATATATACATACCTTAAGCATGCCCATGAGCAGGCACTTCTGGAAGCGGCAGGCCTGGCACGCCTTGCGGCGTCGTTTGTTTATCTCGCACTCATTGTTGGCCGGACACGTGTATTCGATGTTGCCTTGGATGGTGCGCTTGAAGAACGCCTTGCAGGCCTCACAGCTGGCGACGCCATAGTGGAAGCCCGATGCCACATCGCCGCACACCAGGCACAGGCGACGCATTTCGTCGCGCACCGAACCGCTGCCGGCACTGGCGCTGGCGCTGCTCGAGTTGTGGGCACTGGCGCTGCCATTACCACCGCCGTTGCCGCTGCCGGCGCCGCCCTTGTTGCTGTCACCGTCATTGCTCAGCGAGACATTGTGCAGATCGCAGGAGAGGGATGTGGTGGAGCTGCATAGCTGGCGCTCAGGCGAGACCGAAGGCGAGGACTTCATGCCGCTGTTGCTGTTGCTGGAATTGTTGTGGCCGGTTGTGGTTGCCTTGGAGCTGGGACTGCAGCACGAATTGCTAGCGCCGCCAGCCGATGATGTGTCCACCTCCTGTTTTATGTGCAGCACGCTGACGCCGTCGGACATATTCGAGCGCGAAATTTGAGCTGCAATAACAAAATTCGAATCAGATACTCCAATTGGCGCGAATTGAATTTGTTACTGATTGGATTTTAAATGTCAAAAGTACACGGTCAGCGTTGCAGCATGATAAAAGCGATTGCTCGGCTAATTATTAATGAACGTAAAGAGCAGCGACAAAAAAAAAATGTAATTAGAATCGCGCAATCCACTCAGAATGCAGTTAGAATTACGGACTAACCTCTCCCTCACTCTCTAAGCGTCGCCTGCTCGCACACACGCTGTCATATGCGCTATCCCCTTTCGAGCGTCCAATTGGACGACGCTCGGCGCGGTGGAAAAGTACAACAACGCGATAACGGTACTATGCGTAGAGTGTTTACACTTACCAAATAATTAACGGTTACGCTACTTTATAAATCACGACGCTACGGCCTGATTATAAAAAGAAAACAAAAACAAAATGGCCCACAGCTTCGGGCTATAAACTAAAATGCGCGCCGACCAGCCTGAAGATGCACGTTTTTAGTGCGCGTTCTCATTTAATTTCTTATCAGAACTCAGGTGGGTGTGTGTTTGTTGATAATAGGTGTAGGCAGTGGCGTTTATACTTACATAAAAATTTGTAAAGATCTTGATTGTAAATGTAATCAGCGAACGTTCTTGTTGCACACAGTTTAATTGTATTCCAGTGATCCAATCAGAATTCAGTCAACACATTTTGACACATAACTTACAAACATACATACATACACTCATGCATATGCATTTATTTTGGTTCGAGCACTTTGTTATGGCTTTTGTTGTCTGCGTGTGTCTGCATCTTTTTGTGTGTTTGCCTATTCAGCAATTTTTGTGTTTTGCAAACGTTGCTGAATTTGTCGTTAGATATCCTGTATTTCCTGTTTTACATTTATAACTATTATGCATATTGCATTTCTTTTTGGGCCCATATAACTTTTTCAACTTTGTTAACTGGCAGGTGCTGTGTTCGCATGGGTATAAATGTGGTGACTTTTTGTCATTATCCAAGCACAATGTGAATTAAACGTACGCTGCGGTTATTGGTTTATCAATTTTATCTGTTTACGCTAAATATTTACAGAACTTTAACACACTAAAATAAATATACATATATATATATATATATGTGAAATCCAATGTCACTATCGATACGAGCTATTGCAAATATCGCAACACAATTATCGTTGCTTCGTTCCCCACATATCGCTGGCATATATCGATGTATATGATATCGCAAGCAAACTAGGCCCATCCCTAGTGCAAAACATAGCAAAAACAATTGCGCGATAGAAATTACTTTAGAAATACAATTATTTAGCCAGTTTTAACAATAGAACCATTGTACTGTGTTAGTGCACACGCTGCCCAACGCATTGCCCGTGCATATAAAGTGTTTTTGTCAAAAGTAAGTAAATGCTTTGGCCATACGTGCGCATTTCGTTTGTTGTTGTTGGGGGTTTTTATCAGCGCTCAACCCAAAATACACCTTTCCATATGTATCTCGCTTTGTTTGCGCTTTCGTCTAGTACGCAATCGAATATGCTCGCCCAGCCCCTGAGCTGTTGTTGCATATTTTAAAGTTATTTCACGTTTCAACGTAATAGCTAAACGGAGCCTTTGTTTAGAATTATTATACCCTGCATCCATTGAATATGGGCATAATGATTTTGTGCAAACATATGTAACAGACAGAAGGTGGCATCTTTGGGAAGTAAGTCAAGTCTATGTCCGCTCCTGTGTCTGTTTGTAAGTCGATGTATCTTACAGCAGTTGCTTACAGGGTATCACTTAGTCGGATATCTTCTGTGAACTAAAGTCTTCTCCACGAATTAACATCAGCTCCGCTTTTGCAGGAAAAAGAACACAGCGACAGACAACACAATGATGAGCCTGCTAGGGCGACCCGATGTGGATGCGGGCGAGGTGTTTGTCAACTTTAATCAAAACATAACGTAAGTATAAAGTAATATATGGTAAATATGAGATTAAAGTCTCGTTTCGTTTAGTTCGCTGGCCGTGGCCACCAGCGGCAGCTACAGCCTGTATAGCCTGGGCTCTGTGGACTCCACGCTGGACAAAATCTATAACACAAAATGCGATGATCTATTCCTGATCGAGCGACTGTTCGAGAGTTCGCTCGTTGCCATCGTGTCGCAGCGTGCGCCGCGCAAGCTGAAGGTGTGTCATTTCAAGAAGCAGAGCGAGATCTGCAATTACTCGTACTCGAACACAATTTTGGCCGTGAAGCTGAATCGCGAACGCTTGATTGTCTGCCTGGAGGAATCGCTTTACATACACAATATCCAGGATATGAAGGTCGTGCACACCATACGCGACACGCCCTGCAATCAGTTGGGCTTGTGTGCGCTCTCATCCTCGTCGGAGCATTGCTATCTGGCCTATCCGGGCAGCGTTACGGCTGGCGAGGTGCAAATATTCGATGCCATCAATTTGCATGCCAAGACAATGATACCCGCCCATGATACACCGCTGGCGGCAATTGCGTTCAGCCCGTCGGGCACTGAGATTGCCACCGCGAGCGAGCGTGGCACCGTCATACGTGTGTTCAGCTCCCAGGACGGCAGTCGACTGTTCGAGCTGCGTCGCGGCCTCAAACGTTGCGTCTCGATTGTCTCGCTCTCGTTTAGCACTTGCGCCGAGTATTTGGTCTCTAGCTCGAACACGGAGACGGTGCACATATTCCGCTTGGATCGCAGCGCTGCCGAGAACAATGACCATGGGAAGCAGTCGAGCGACGATTGGATGGGGTAAGCGGGCGAGCTGCTTCTTGTCACAGCTTTTGTTTGTCTGTTGGTTACGGTGTATATACATGCACATACAACATATATACACAGTCTCTCACAATCTTTCACCCATTTTGCGTACAGGATTTTATGTACAGTGAAAGCTCTGTCAACGGACGGGCGGACATCTCCAATAACCTTTATTTCTCGTTTATCAGACGAACAAAAACAAATCATAACTATCCCCAAAACATTCCCAAGTTTAGACGAACTACAGGGAAATAAAACTAAATTATTTAAAATTTGCCATATTTTTGTATCAAATTTAAAACTATTCAAAGAAAACTTTTTCAACCTGTTTTCCACATTTACAGCTAGAAATACCCAATCCCTTAGCCTAATACCTAAAATTCTGTAAAAGTATGAATGAATGAAGTTTTTTTCCTTTAATTTTTCATTATTCTTTGACATCTCTCGATCCGCAGCTGTCCGAGGCAGCTTTCACTGTATTTAATGTTTTGTTTGTTTATTTTTTTTTTGTGTGTGGCACTTGACATTTATCTATTTTTCTTTTCTTTCATTTCTTCAATCAACCAACCAACCAAACCAACCAAACCACCCACAAACCACAACCACAACCAACACCACCACCACCACTCATCAAATCTATTCTCTCATGCAAGTTACTCGTTTTTTAGATTCTTGAGCAAAACGGTGACCAGCTACTTGCCCACGCAGGTGACCGATGTGTTTAGCCAGGGGCGGGCTTTTGCATCGGTCACCCTGCCGGAGGCGGGTGTGCGACGCATGTGCGCCATAACCACCATACAGAAGCAGCTAAGGTAGGTCTATGATACCCACTGCGATATCGTAAGTCTATCATTAAATGCATATTAATTTCATTACAGGCTATTGATTGCCTCGCAGGATGGGTATTTGTATGTCTATTCCATACCCTCGATTGAGGGCGCAGAGTGTCAGCTAATAAAGCGGCATGATTTGCGTTTGGACGATAGCTATGCCATGGATGTTAAAGGTGCTTAATAAATGCAATTATTACACACACACATAGACAATCACACACACATACCTTTGCAATATCACAACAAATTATTTAGTTGATTCAACTCATCATGCTTTAGGTCTGAACAGTAATGTTTCCATTGGTGGTGCGGCCGGGGTGCCAAGTGCCGCCGCCGCCGCCGCTGCTGCTGCCGCTACTTCTGGTGGTGCTGCTGGCGATGGCAAATCTACTGAAAAACCGGGCAGTTCGACGAGCGGCGGCAATGCAGGCGCTAGTTATGCCTCGGCTGTTAAAGGCGATGAACCGGCTGGTGGCGCCTCATCCTCCACTTAGGTGCAATTCAAACAACAACAACAACAACCACAAGTGGTAACAAAAAATGATATGAAAAAAGAAGAAAAACTCACTCCTCAAAGTACTAAGGACGACGATGATAAAGTGATTGGATTTGGGTCATGCAGCTGGCGAGGACGTTGGAGGCGGTAGCTCTGTGGCGTCAAACAAAAAAATTAAGTAAATAAATGAATAGGTCTTAGACTTAGCTTTTAACGTAATCAATGATGATTCTTCCTCGGTTTATAAGTAAAAAAGAGATAAAATGCAAAAAACATAAATGAGTGACCCCCTCTTCCCCCTGCCGCAAAACAATTTTTGTTAGTTATAAGTTCTGTTCGTGGCGCTGCCATTAATAGGAGAAATGCTTTTGTCATACAATCTTAAGTTAGCTGTTATATTTTTTAATAATTTGAACATTACAATTTCTTATTAAATAAATTGCCTTTGTAAATTTACATGCATATATTTTTCATTTGAGCCCTTGACAATCCACCGAAAGTTAATAATTTGCTATAATTTTTGCGTTACTTAAACAATACTCAACATTAGCACATTTATTGTTATATTGCCAATTTAACTAATATTATAATTATATCAAAATAATCAAAGTAACAAGAGATTGAGTGAAAGCATCAAAATTGAAGTGTGTGTAATGGAGGAACAATTTTCGGCATATATAGTAAATATATACATATATTTTGTACAAAGTCAAACATTTTAGAACATAATATTTAAAGCAGTTTACAAAAATCATGCGCTACTTTATTGTATTCAATAAATTACATATTTGATTTAATATACCTGCTGCTTTGACTTTTGAATTTGGCGGGCCTTTCAAAATACAGTCTGTGTGCTGTGTAGCACTAATCCTAATTTCATTTTCAGCACTGCAAAAAAGTATCGAGTATTACATTCACAGATGCCACATAATATACAAAGTATGAGAAAAACTTGTTGTTAATTATACAAACGAATTTTAGACATAGTTTCTAATAATCACAGTTGTTAAGAAAACCGAATATAGTGCTTCGTTGTATAGATAAAATACCAGATTTAGTACATTTGTACATCAGATGGCAGTACTGATTATTTTTATATAGGTATCGATATTTATGTATCATCCCTAACGAGAAACCGCATACAGTAAACATACATACGTTCGCTGAAAAATATAAACAGTGCTTCTTCTTGATACACTTTCATATAATTGTTTATAGGACTTGTGTCCCAAGTATAATGAAATAAACTCTAAATCTTCAGAATAACGTGAATAACTAAAGCGCTGAGCATGAAGGAGAACAACAAGATCCTTCAGTTGATTAACGTGGCATGGCGTGAACGCTGGACAGACTCACAGTGGGGCATAAACATAAAAAAGGTGATTTACACATGTTACAAATCCCAAGTTTACTTTGAAATTCATTAGGTGTTTACATTGAGAATTTTTGAACACGTTTCGTATGCACGTATACGAACCTCATTTAATTCCTCATCTTCTTGACGCCACTTTTATGGAACTCATAAACCGGATCCTCAGCTTGTGCCAAGGCCAGGACAAGCTGTCGCTGCTTCATGGATAGATTGCGCGGTATGCGCACCTTCAATGTGATGATGTGATTGCCGACACCTTCACGCGTCCGCACGCCCTTGTTGTGCAGCACCACTTGAGTGTGGGACTGGGTGCCGGCCTCGACGCGAACCTCGACGTTCTCGTAGAGGCCGCGCACCGAGAAATTGCCGCCCAGTATGGCATCCGATATGTTCAAATACTTGTCCGTGTGTATATCATTGCCAATGCGACGAAAGTAATCACTCGGAGGCACCTTTAGTGTGTAGTTAACCCGTTGCTTTGTATTCGGATTGTCGATTGGGATCACGTCGCCGGCCATTGAACCGGGTGGCACGGCGATGACGACCTCAACATTACCAGTTACAAAGCCACGGTTCTCACAGGTCTCACAATCATTGCGATTAATATACCGCTTGCCCTTGCACTGGCCACAGGTATTCACAGCGGTAAAAGTCAACGTTTTGGTGGTCACTTTGCCTGTGCCGTTGCAGCGCCGGCACGGCTCCTTGCCCAGATCTCGATTGGCCATCAGCTGGGACTTGCCCTTGCAGTTTTCGCACTTGCGCAAATAACGCAATTCAACGCGCTTCTTGCATCCCACAGTCGCCTCCAGAAAGGTCAATGTTAAATCGAGCTCGCCGCCAGTTAATTTTTTGATGTCTACGTAGGAGGAGGAGGAGGAAAAGGGCTCAGCATATTAGACAAACATCGCTGTGGGGTTTATCACAACACGCACCCTCTGGATTTTGGCCACTGGCATCGTGTTTCCTTGAGGCGAGATCGATTTTCATGGGATTGCCTGCCTGCTCGAGAAATGCCTGCTCATCCTTTATGCCGCCCAGCTGATCGTATTCCAAGCGTTTTGTCTCATCCGTCAATATGTTGTAGGCATTAGATAGCTCCTGAAAGTGCTTCAGCTTCTCCTCGGAGTGCGTCGAGTCCGGATGATAGCGCTTGGCCAGCGCATAGAAGGCGCTGCGTATTTGCTGTATAGTCGCGTGCCTATTCACACCCAGCACCTTGTAATAATAGTCCTTGGGCAGTCCACGCTGCTGTTGGGGCTTCACGGTGAGCGACTGCCTGGCTGTCATCGGACGTTTCATTTCGGACTTGCGATCCGGATAATATACCTCCTTCTTGATGCGAAACTGATACTGACTTATCAGGCGCTTCCATAGCCAACCGCTGCTGCCTACAATATCGTTGTTATCCTTTTTAACACACGCTGCGCCCACGAGTGGTCGCCGTCTAAATGATCCTCTCAAACTGCTCATGAAACAACCCTGAATGCGTTGCAAATTTAAACGAAACATCATTTAACGCGTAATAGAAAATGGAAGAACTATATGGAACTATACTGTATGTGATGTAATTGTGTGGTTTTTGTTTATAACTTGAAGATTGTTATTTGTTTTTGTATGTTGTGCGTATAGGTACCCAAATTTTTAATCTATAATAGTTCAACAGATGTAATCCTAATGACATTTTGTTCAGCTGGCACTGTGTTGGAACAGCTTCCTTGAAGATTCAAATTTAAGATAACTTAGCTCCAAGTCAATCAGTCCGTCAGTTGGTCAATTAGTGAGGAGTTTTATATACATATAATCATGGGGCCACATTTTATATTAAGGCCAACTTTTGGTTGTCTTTGTGCACATATCATACTCTTAAATTTATACAGTCTATCTTTTTCTTTTAGGTCTTACCACGCGGTGTTAGCGGCGATGTCTACAACCTGGCGGATTGTCTGCTGCAGCAGGCGGTCATTGGCTCCACAGCGAACTCGGTGAATATATAGTTAAACTTGTTTAACAATTGACAATATCTTTCTAACCCATTTGTTGCCCGCATTTAGCTGGTTTTGAACTATCTGAAGCACTCGCTGTGTGCACACCTCGTCTCGCATGCCGCGGTGCTGCGCTGCATAGCCAAATATGATAAGCTGGGGCGCGTTTATTGTGTGACCGCGTTGCTGGAGTTTCTGGTTAGCATTATAGACGGCATCACCTGTCGGTGAGTCATAATTGTTTACCAAATCAAGTTTCAGCTTAAACTTCAATTTATCCTCTGCCAGCATCAAGTCGGAGGAGTCGCTGCTGCCTAGCGCCGTGGTGCAGCTGGTTCTGTGGATCATGCAGATATTTGCGCGCACTTTGCAACAGTACGAGATGCGCGGCGAGATGAGCGCCGAGCAGTCCTATATGCTGGATCAGAGCTGTCTGCTCATCGAACATCTCACGCAGCAACAGTTTGTACTGGCCATGCTGAACGTGGGCTGTCACGAGGAGCTGGAGTCACTAGACAGGCTGCGGGATCTCTATGCCAGCATCAAGGCCTCGCTGACCAACTCCAACTTTACGCTCAGCGCGGCGACCGCCGAGCAGCAGCTCAAGCAATTGGCCTACATCGATGCCAAGCACTTGGAGCTGCAAATGCTTAATCCATGCCCCACCGTGGAAAAGATTTCATGCTGTGTGCAGCCACTGCTCGCCGTTGAAGTGCTTTTAAATCCCTGCAAGGACACCTCGTACTATGTGGCCGAACTGCAAATGCTGCAGCGGCTCAAGGGCTATACGAACACACGTCTATTCTATGAGATTATACGCGCGGGCTTCCTCACGCTCAGCAATGCGGCCGACACCAGTCCGGATACCATGTGGGGCGCCTTTATGTTCTTCAAGATGCCGCACATTATCAAGCAGCTGCATGCGCTGCAGCGTGTGCCGGGCGAACAGCCATTGGCAGCGACAGACTACATACCCGAGCTGGTGGAGGCGCTGGAGCTGCTCATTGAGGACAATCTGCTGCTGGACTTTATGGACACCAAGTGCTCGTGCAATATTATTGAGTTTCTGCTCAACGACTGGACCAAACAGCAGCTGGTGAACGATGTTCACGTCAAGAAGTTCGCCAGCCAGCGGTGGGTATACATTCAAACCAGTTGGAGCTCTCATTTAAAATGTCCATCTGTTGCAGTGAGGCCGCCTCGATGCTGCTCAAGAAGTGCGACAATGGTCAGCAGACGCCGTCGAACATTAATTTCATAAAACGCGCCGAGGTGCCACTTTCTGGCGTGCTGAAAACGTTGTGCACCAACAAGTTGCCGGATATGGTGAATGTACTCTGCCAGGTGCCAGTGGGTAACAGCTTTGAGCTGATCCTATCCGTGGCCACCGTAGAGGGTCGCCTCAAGACGTTCGTCTCGCGTCTGATACAGTGCAACGAGAACTCCAAGCAGCTGCCCGGTGAACTGGGCAAACTGTCCATCATACGCTCCACGCTGTTCGATGTGTCCTTCCTGATGCTCACCAGCATTGTGCAGACCTACGGATCGGATGTGAGTGCTCACTTATAGCTTCTATTATCTTATCTAATGATGCTTTTTCAGGTGGTGCTTTCCGAGCGAGGCGACTCCTTCTTTGAGAAATGGGTGCGCGAGTGCATGATGGAGCGCAATAAGCTTAAAAATCCGCGCCAGATTTTAGCGCTCTGCGATGACAGCATAGTGGACGAGCTGCTGTTGAGTCTGAGCAAACCGGAGGCGGCACAACTGAAACCCAGCAACCTCACCTGGCAGGACATATGCCTCAATTTGCCCGGCGTGCTGCATCATGTGCTAATTGCCTGGGAGCAGGAAACACTCTCCTCAGCGGACGTGAAGAGCATATTGGACAACATGAAGCGTCGCCTCTTCAGCTTCACAGTGTGCGCCACCTCGTTCCTGTGCGCGTACATGTACTCGGTTCGTGAAACGGAGCTGCTGAAGCCGTTGAATATGATCCAACAATTTCTGGCACCGCTCACCACCGAGGAGCTGTCCAGCCAGGAGAACTCCAAGGAACGCCTGGCGCTCTCCTATCAGATTATACGTAAAATGCAGCACGATGTGCATCCGGCGCCAAATACCAAATCCCGTCTCATTTCCCACACGCCGCTCATCGAACAATTTCGCGAATGCTGGCGCAGTGTTGCCGAAGCCGGACATTTGCCGGTGCGTGCGGCACAGACGCTGGAATCTTTGTTGCTGGCCGGCGGTGCATCCTGGCTGGTTACTCAGCTGGTGGAGCAGCTGCTCAGCTGCAAATACATGCGCGACATGGCCAAGTGCATGGACATTGTGTTCGCTGTGATGCATTTGGACATAGAGCGCAGCACCGAGGCATTGCTGCAGTATGTCGTGGCTCCACTGATCCTGCGTCGTCAAGGGTGCGTGCCACGGTGCAATTATGCCGAAACGTGACCTTACTAATTGTTTTCTTCTCTTGCAGCGACGACATCAACGAGCCACAGTCGCTGGTGCTGGCGCGCCTCTGCGTCTACTGCATCATTTCCTGCCTGGAGACGCGCAGCTCGGCCAACTCCGCTGCAGCTGCTCTAAAGAAACGCTCGCGTTCCCACGACGACGATGAGATGCAGGGCGTAGCCAATGCGGCCAAGGTGCGCAAAGTGATTGGCGATGGCAGCAACGAAAATTCCAATGATTTTGCCGACGGCGGCGGCACAAATGTGGCCGCCATGCTGAGCACGCCCAACGCTGAGCTGCGCGCCACACCACTCAATCTCAAGGAACCGCTGCAGTCCAGCATTAAGCACATATTCCGCGTCTTTCTGCAATTTGTCAGCGGCGACGAGCTGTCGCCCAAGGCCGTCTTTGTCTATCAGTTCATCTCGCTGCTGGTGGAGTGCGGCGGTGAGCGAGTGACGCCCGTATTGCGTCTGCTGCCCTCGACCCTGATACAGCAGCTGCTCAAGGTGCTGGCAACCGATGATATACGCGTGGGCCTCATTAGTCGCCTCTATGACCTGCGCTTGCAAGGCGGCCGGCAGGCGGCTGTCGCCGATTTGTGCCTGTGGCGCAATATGCAGCTGGCGCGGCACAGCATACACTTGTGAGGAGTTGGGTTGGGTCAATAAAACTGGCGGAGCATGTTTAATTGATAAATACTAAAATAAACTTATATATTAAAACAAGAATAAATCAATACTTGTTTCTTTGCTTAGTTATTGCCAACCCAATACGGACCAATTGTAATTAAATGATATGAACTAAACGGCCAACATGTTGCATTGCTTGCGTATTCTATATCAGCTAATTATCAATTCGTGAAAAACTTCGCATTCGTTTTCATTTATATCTTTCATTTTTTTGTTGTTGTTGTTTTTGTTTTCTTTTGGAGCTGTCTCCCTCAATGCATTACAAACATGATGACAAATTTATATTATATATGTTGGCTTTAGACTAAAAAAAAGTTGCTGACTCGACTCGTTTTCGGTTCGCAGTGGTTGTTTTATTACGATAATTTGTTGTTGCGGTTGTTGTTGCTGTTGTTGCTGTTGTTGTTACTGCTGTTGCGGCCAATCTGCCTGTTGTTATTGTTTTTGTTCCATGCCCGCTGCTTGTTGTTTTTTGTATAGAACTAATAAAAGCGCATTCATCATCATTGAAACATTGGAGCAGGCAGCAGCAGCAGGCAGATGCCGTTACTTAAATTAAAGACTTTTGATTTCCTATATCACTTGAGACAGCATTCAAAGTAAGTCTCGCCAACGATGCCCCCGCGCATTGCCTTCTTTACATTATATTCAAATTGACGTCGATTGCTTTGCAGCACATCGGCGGCTTCCTTGTTAAGCGGATCCTCGGGATTGGGTTCCTAAAAAAACCAAAAAATATGAATGTTAGTAGAAGCTAAATTAGTCACGTTCAGTGTTGCCAATGCAGCTACTTTTGGCCTACTTTCAGCCAGAAACAGCCAAATTTAAACTGATTTAGCTTTTTTGGCATCTCATCAAGCTAACATGCAGCTATTTTTAACATTAGATTCAGCTATTTTTTTTAGAACAGCAGTTGGCAACACTGGCGAACATTACCAAAAATAGAAACTGCAAGCCATAGACAATGGAATTGATGGTCAGCACTGGGTTCCAGTCCTCGCGCAATATGTTTAGACACACATTGCCCTCCAGATCGATGTTGGGGTGATATACTTGCGTGGCACACTTCACTTTTGGCGGCTCGTGCGGATAATTGGAGCCCACGCGAAAATTAAATACGAAGCGACCGTCTCTGTAGAAACCTTCATCCGGTGAAATGATCAATTTGAAGTTGAGCAAATCATCGCTATCTGGAAACTCCGTTGCACAAGTTTTGGGCAGGTTTAGTTCGTTAATATCTAAAAAAAAACATATAAAACAAAGTTATGGGCGCCAAATAGCCAATAGGTATTTACCTTTTTGTATGCGCAATTGTGCAGCTGAAGCCTTCTTTTGCTGGCCCCCGCGTGCCGTTTGATCACCATCCTTTTTTTGTTGTTTCAGCGAGAAAAGTTTAATCATTTTGCTATATTTGTTGGCCTGCTTGGCGCTTGCTCGCGTCGTCCGTCTACAGCTTCCACTTCTGAGGTTTAGCGCTTCGATTGCAGGCTGGCCGTTTGTATGTTTCTGCTTTTGTATGTCAGATTGTGGGCATGTTTGAAGTTTACAATTGTTTATACGATTGCCATTTATATGTTAAATTTTGTGCCGTACCTTAAAATTTTGGTTTGGTTGTTTCAAGTGCTTGCTTCTTCTTGCTCTTTAGCTCTCAATTTCTCTGCCTGTCACTCAAGGTAGCGCAGCGAAAACAATCGATTGCACTATCGTCGGCCGTATATTCACTGTCATAATCGATATGTTAAAAGAGTTGCCACCTAACGCTTTTGCAATTATTTAGTGCGATATTTTTGTTAATTTTGCCTCAGTTTGCTGGAAACAGTTAAAACTTAAACCGATAAAAGCCCATTAAAAGGAAAACTCATTTGTAAACAGTCTACTCAGTTGTGCCTATCGATAGTTCATTCGATTGAATTTCACCTGCACATGTTACGAACAACGCGCAAAAACAAACAAGTTTAATTGACAATGTCAGCAGAGCCCGAAATTGCCAAAGATGCGGTACTCAAGCGTAGCGAACGCATTCCGGAAGACACGCCACAGGTGCACGGCTACGATTTTAACCAGGGCGTTAACTACAGCAAGCTGCTTGAGTCCTATGCGCACACCGGCTTTCAGGCAACGAATCTCGGCCTGGCCATAAAGGAAATCAACAAAATGGTAAGTTCTTTTGCTTTCTGGAAACCACACTACACAATACTATGTACAGGCAGTTGGATTGCAGGGCTCAGCCGCTGGGGGCCGAGGAGCAGGATCTGCACGAAACGGACGAGTTTATCAGGCGGCGCAGTAAATGCACCATTTTCCTGGGCTACACCTCGAATCTGGTGTCGTCGGGCATGCGGGAGACGCTGCGCTTCCTTGCCGAGCATCGCATGATCGACTGCATTGTGACAACGGCCGGCGGCGTGGAGGAGGATTTCATCAAATGCCTGGCGCCAACATTTATGGGCTCCTTCGAGCTAAGCGGACGAGAGCTGCGCGAACGTGGCATAAATCGCATTGGCAATCTGCTGGTACCGAATGACAACTACTGCAAGTTTGAGGATTGGCTAATGCCGCTGCTCGACGAAATGCTGGAGGAGCAGCGCAGCAAGGGCACCGTCTGGTCACCCTCACGCATCATACACAGGCTGGGCGAGCGTATTGCTGATCCGAGCTCCATATATTATTGGGCGGCCAAGAATCAAATACCCGTCTATTGTCCCGCTCTAACCGATGGCAGTCTTGGTGACATGATGTACTTTCACTCGTTCCGCCAGCCTGGTCTGGTTGTGGACATACTATCGGATCTGCGGCGGCTCAACACGATGGCCGTGAAGGCAATCAACAGCGGCATGATTATTGTAGGCGGTGGCCTCATAAAACATCACATTTGCAATGCAAATCTAATGCGCAATGGCGCCGATTATTCCGTTTTCATAAACACAGGCTCCGAGTTCGATGGCAGCGACAGCGGCGCACGACCGGACGAGGCGGTATCCTGGGGCAAGATACGGAAAGAGGCCACGCCAGTCAAGGTGTATGCCGAGGCCACTCTGGTCTTTCCGCTCATTGTGGGCGAGACCTTCGCCAAGCGACACTTTAGCCAGAAAGAGGCCACATTGTAATTGTGTGTATAGAAGTAAATATAGTGAATATGTTCCATAAACGACCATAGAAACTAGTCCAATTTTCTGCTGGCCGCATTCTAACAACCACTTTGAGCCACACTATAAGCAACTGCTCAGTCTCCAAAGTGTCGTGCTTTATGCAGCCGATGGGACGCTGTGTGGGCGGGCGGGCACTAAGAAAACTGCCCAAGCAAAGTTGTTGTCAGCCGCAGTGGCTGCATTGGCAGCAGGAAGCCATTAAGCGTTGTTCCCTGTGCGAAGATGTGCAAAATGTGATAAATGCAACAAGCAGCCCATTTTCAACTTCAATGGTTAGTTGCAGTTAGAGCTGGGCGCGTGTCGTGTTTGCTTTTGCTCGTGTCGATCCCGTGTCAAGCAGAGAATAGAAACTAACACAAAAGTTTATATATGCTAAATGCTGTTAAAAAAGTTACTTAAGGTAAAATATAAATAATATTCATGTCAGAATACTTTAATAAAAATGTATATAAAATCGGTAGTAGAATAAAACATCGAGCTATATTTAGTTATTACTAATTACTAATGTATAAACAAAGAGGATGATAAATCGAAAATCTCCACATATTTATTTTTAAATTCCTATAAAATTTAAATAATTATTATTTTACAAAAATAAACAAGATTTCGTGCGTGTCGTGTTGCCGAATTGCTATTCATATTCGTGTCGTGCTAAAAATATCGACCCATCTCTAGCTGCAGCTCCAGCCGCAATGCTTCTTCTTCTTTATAGCTTCTTCTACGTTATAATGGATACGTAGTGCACTTTGCTTCTTCGCTACTTGGCAGTAACGGCAAAAATGCAATTGTGTAGCATTTTAACAATAAAACGAAAGTTGTGGTCCTCGCCGGCCACGGCTGCTGCTGCCGCCCCGCTTACCCGTAAGCCGTAGCCGTAGCTCCTCGGGTTTTTGTCAAACGCAAAAAGGCAACTAAGTCTTTGGCGTAATTGCTTGGGGTTTGCTGCGCACATAAATTTTGTACCACGCTTCTGCCTTGGCGACTTTTCACTTTTGTCATATTTTCCCACACAGACCCCGCGCCCCGCCGCTTTCTGCATTTTCTGCTTAATAGTCAGAAATTGTTTTGGGAACAATGCATTCGCATAAGCTCACAAATTTGTCATTAATTTTATGTCGCTAATGTTACTCGCCCTCCACAAAGCCAGAATTTCAAATTTTATGTTTATAGCCCTCAGCCCCCCCCCCCCCTCCCCAAGACCTAACGGTAAGCCCCTGCTGTCTGACCAAAGTTTTCGCTGTCTGTGAGCATCATTAAAGCCGAAAAAAACTTTTCGCACAGTTATTTCTTTCGCCGCATTCTTTTTCTGTGTGCTTTTTCGCCGCGCTTCGACAGTTGGTGTTACATGTTTTGAGCTATTGTCATGCAGCGTGGGGGGGAGTGGAGCAGGGCAGCGGGTTGCTGCAGCTGCATTTGCTTTGCAACTTTTTTGCAGCCGCAACTTTTATGTCCACTTTTGTTCTTGTTGCAAATATGAATAGCTCGGTCGCTTGAAGTTCAACCAACCGTCATGTACTTATTACCTAATGCTCTGCTTTATCAAATTTATGAAATGTTCGGAATACTTTGGCAACAAATGAGAGAAAAATGAAATTTTGCAATCGACAACTGATGTCGAACGTTTGAACTTTCGCTCTATTTGTGTCTATTATAATGTGCTGCAGGTGTGTGGCATCAGTTTTCGAGTAACAGGTAGATGCAAGTCAAATATGGAAGTTATTCCTTTATTTAAATTTCTACCTTTTTGTTTTATATCCCTGCAAGGCCAGCCTAAAAGTAGCTTATTCTAATTTAATGTAGCATACTTTTCAGTGTGGGGACTAAGTTCAAGCATGGGCCTATTTTACTATTTATTGCAGCATACTTTTAAGCATATGAGTAAGGTGATTTTCACTTTAGTAAAAATCTGGCACATTTCACTTTGCAAAACCTAAAATACTGTCAAATATGTAAAGGACAAACGGGAATGGTGGTGGTTAATATAAACAAACAAATTATGCGGGTCGATGGAGAAACTTTGCACTTGCATTATCAAATTTAACCACGCTAATAAATCATATAACTAGGCTAATAACATTTCAAAATGGAGCCTAGAAGAATTTTGAGAAGTGTTGCATACTTTCGAGAGCAACAATTTCGTGAGCTCATGGTCTCCACAAAAGGTACACCCAATTTATGGGACTCCAGTGTAATGCATTTCTTAATGTGTCAGAAATAATTACAGTAAACCGGCAGCACTTTAATATTCAGGCTGCCCGAGCAGCCACATTTAAATTTTAAAAATAAAACCTAAATTAATGTTCAATATTATTGCAAAATTATTGGAGCTACAATTGCAACAGCTCATCGACGTGCCCTGTGGGTGACCTCAATTTATGGGACACCACTGTAGCGGAGTTCTTAGCGTAATAGAGAAAATTGCAGTAAACTATAATCCAGCTGCACTTTGGCTGGCACCAACTGCCACAACTTGGAGAAACTCTTGGCAAGAAAATCAATTGCACTTATTATCCTAGCGCCATTATCGGCAGCCACACAGGCCAGCCCGGATTGTCGTTAAGAAGTGCTTAACTGCATGCTGTCATATCTAATGCCAGCCACACACACACACACACACACACACACAGGCAAGCAACGCATACACACAGTGCTTAAAAACTAATTACGAGCAAAGCTGCTGTTGTTGTTGTTGTTGTTGTTGTCTGCTTCTTCCGCTCAGCAGGCCAGGCAAGTGCGTGGCAATACGTTCCAAGTTGTGCTTTGTTTTCGTTATTTTATTTTTTTTTTTGCCGTTGTCCTGGACAAGTTTCTAGTGATTACGAGCAAATTAAAACTACATTAAAACTTTGGCGAGTCCAGTTCCTGGCAATTGACAGGCCCACACACACACACGCACACACATGCACATGGGCAGTGCTGCCAAGTTACGTTTAAAAAAGTAGCTGAAACCTATGTAAAAATAGCTAAAACTAGCTAAATTAGCGTGCTGTGGGTATATTAGGAACACAAAAGGCCATAAAAAGGCTAAGTTAGCTTCGGAGTGTTTCCTCTCGATACTCTCAAGCACTTATTGATTTCGGCAATAAAAAATAAAACAATCTGTAGAACTGTTAGCAGAAATACTAGAAAATATATAAGTTTGTATATATATAATGGCGCACTAATTCTTCTGGCAATTGACAGGCACACACACACGCACACACATGCACATGGGCAGTGCTGCCAAATAGAAAATAGCTAAAACTAGCTGAATTAGGAATTAGGGAACACACAAAGCCAAAAAAGGCTAAGTTAGCTTCGGAAATAGCCAAATTATCTAGAAAAATGGGTCGCACTGCACGAGAGCTTTTCTGCCGTAACTCTCACGCAATAATTGATTTCGGCAATAAAAAAGAAAACAATCGAACTGTTAGCAGAATTAGTAGAAAATATATATATATATAAAAGAGAGGCACTAATTCTCAGTTCCTAACATTTGCTGCTGAGCTCATCGTCCGGCGTGGATTTCAGAAATTTCTCCTTCAGCTGTTCCGTTTCGTGCGGCTGACAGTACTGGCAAGTGCGCTTCTCGTATATCTCCGTGGTCATCGCCTGCCTGGAGCGCTGCACCGACGTGGATGCCGTGGATGGCGCCAGATGCTCCAGTTCGGCCTGGCACTCGGAGCAGCCGCAGGTGCCGCTGCCGGTGCCGCTGCTGTCGGCGGCATTTCGTATGGTTTGGGTCTTGGCGCTGCGCAGCAGCTCCTCGTATGGCGGCATCTGTTTGGCCTGGTAGCTGCTGCTCGTCCTGGGACTGCCCGGCGGCGGTTGGCGGGAATCGGAGGTGTAGTATGGACGGGACGCTGAGGCTGCCGCCTGCTGCTCCCAGAAGATCTGCTCGCGCTGCTTCAGATCCTGGACGTGTGCTTGCAGCTGCTGGCGTGCCTGGATCAGGGCGCGCTGCTCATGGCGCAGCAGCTGCTGCTTGCTCTGGAGCGCCTCCTGCTGCTGCTTGAACAGCTGATCGTAGAGCATGCGCACATTCTTCTCGCGCCGCTCGCCCGCCTGCTCCAGCATATTGTCCAGCACGGTCTCCAGCCTCCGATCCAGCTCGAACAACTGTTTCCGTGTTTCCGGCTCATCGTCCAGCATATCCTGCAGACAAATGTGTAGAAAATTTAGTGGTCCACTGGCCGCTGTCCAATCCCTCAGCCGGCGCATGGCCAGCAGCATGCCGCGCTCCAATCGAGGCAACAGCGGCGGGGCACGCGGCTTGGGCAGCTCCATCTGAGCCATCTGAGGCATGCGCTGCTGCCAGCTGCTGTCGGCCTGCCTGAAGCGCTGCTCGTTCTCCAGGGTGCGTGCGTGCATCAGGTTGATCTCTCTGATTAGCGCCTGGTTCTGCTGGGTGAGCAGCTCGAAGCTGGGATCGGGCGCATAGCTTACGGATGGGCCGCCGCTCTCGAGGCGTTCCAGCTCCGGAGCACGCGGCATAAAGCGATGCGTGCTGTTGCTATAACTGGACAGATTTGTTGTGAGCGCAGATGCCGCATCCTCATTGTCCTGGACATCCAATTGCAGCTCTGGCAACGCCAGAGGCAACGGCTCCGGCAAGGGCTCCTGCTTCGCTTCCGTGGCTGGCAGCTCCTGCAGCTGCAGTGGCTCCAGCTGCTTCTGCTGCTGCTCCTTCTCCTCCTCCTCCTCCTCATCCTCTAGCCTACCCTGGTAGTCGCTGAGCACCTCCTCCAGCTGGCGATTGGCGTTATCCATTTTGGTAAAGGGCATGCTCAGCTTGCCCATCTCCCGCAGCTGGCCATACATGAGCAGCATCAGACAGTTCCTGGCATACTTGTCCCGCTTGCCCGCCTTGTGGAAGAGCTGCAGCCAGCGCTGGCTAATCATAAAGTCCGACTTGCTAATCTTATTCGAGTAGACGTCGCACATCATTCGCAGCTGCGACACGAAATGTCGGTCCAGTGAGTTCTCGTTCAATTCACTCATTTTCACCGATTTTTTTTGGAGCGAACTGATCTACAGTTTTATGTTCAGCCAATTGTTTGAATTTTTACATTGAATATACGAAATTTTCTATTGTTTTTTTTTCTGTTCGAAGTCCTGTTGAATGTCAGAATGTGAGATTTATATCTGATGCGATATATTTCGAATACATGTAAATACGTAACTAAATAAGGGAGAGGCCCAGGGAGCATAAGATAAGAGAGGTTATTTCAAAAAGAAACGTTCAAATCTGTACTGCTTAGTTGAATTTTTGAGAATCGCATAGGAAGGTTGTACTTGCATTCCGCGCACTTGAACGAGTAAGAGAGCGTATTAGAGAATTTAAGAGCGTCTGAGGCAGAGGAAGATAACGATTTTGAGAAAAAGAGAGTTCGAGCAATAGTGTGGGAGATAAAGCTTTAGAGGAAAAGAGAGTTGGAGTAACAGAAAGCAATCTAAAGAGAGAGAAAGAAAGCAGAGAGTGAGAATAAATAAAAATATGTTGGCGGGTGTTACTCTTCAGAGAAAGCGAGAGAGGGAGATAAAAGAGAAAGAGAAGAAGAAAGGCGTGGAGAGAGAGAGAGAGAGAGAGAGAGGGATAGAAAATGTGAGTAGAAGACACAGAAAACGAGTAAGAAAGAGAGAAAGGGAGAGAGAAACCAACAAAGAACGATAGGGAAACCGAGGGAGAGAATGTGAGAGGGATTGAGAAAGCCAGCAAATTAATTAATGTTCTTTCCTGGTTCGGATTAGCCCAAGGACCTTTAATTAACGCCACTTTGCAAGGGTCCAGCCGTTAAATTGTTGTTAATTTAATTTGTTCATTTTTTTTGTTGTTGTCTTTTTCCAGCGATGTTAATGAAAATGCAGAACGTCGCTCGGGTCGCAATTCGATAATTAAGCAAATTTCTCAAATTCAAATTTAAAGTCAAGGCTCATTTAACATTCGCTTGAAAATGTTCTGACGACGGCAAAGAAAGAGTTTTGTGTCAGTTTTCACTAGCTGTTCCGTTGGCAGCTGGCTGAGGTCAATGGTATTCCTTGCTCCACAAAGTTTTCGCACCTTTCTGGCCAGGATAATAGCACGAAAATGCCGCAAATACTTGCGAGACAGCCACCCACACACACAGAGAGAGAGAGAGAGAATGAGAGAGAGAGAGGCGCATATCCTGCTGCCGATAAGCTGGCAATATCCTTGGCCATGCTGTTTAATTCCTTTGCCGTTGCTTTGGCATTTTTTTTCCGTATTCTTTTTTTCCACTCATAAATTGCGCAAATTCCTTTTGTGCGCATCAAGAAGAAAGTGGATGGGGTCGGCTCTCCTGGTATTGCTGGGGCCGGGCACATCTAATTTCTCTGCATGTCCTGTGCACGCTTATTAAAGTATAAATCATTTGATGGCCCCGCTCGCCCCCCGCTCCAACTGAACCAAGTGCCCAATAGGAACATCAAAAAGTGCAACAAAAAAGAAACGAAAAGCAGCCAAAAAAAAAAGTTGAGGTTAGGTACGGAGCGGCGAGGTGTGTTGCGGTGCGGTGTGGTGTGTTGTGGTGGGGTAAGGTGTGGTGAGGTAAGCTGAGGAGCTGGCCAAAGTACATTATCGTTGTCCGGGCGTGGAGCGAGCTTGCAACAAATGTAGCAGAAAACCGCAGCTGAGAGTAGTTGCAATTAAATACAGGAAATAATGGCCACCGCAGCACCAGCTGCCGCCTGTCTAGGGGGGGGGGGGGGCGTGGTCGGTGGCCAGAGGAAACGACAGAATGCAGGAAGCGTTCACAGCATCTTGGCCCATGCAGCATAACAATTTTGAGGCGAACTAAGGCGAAACTAAGCTCAGCTCGGCGAAACTTCTTGGCGCTGCGATAAAAGCCGTTCAGCCTGCGAATCTTATAAGCAATTCTTAAGTGTGACCAGTTAAAGATAATTGCCAAATGCTTAACTTTGGAGGCGTAAACGGCAGTTAGATTTTAAATAACATTGCCCGAGTCGAAAAAGAGAGGACATGTATGTGAAAACTTATAATACTGCGACTTAGTTAAGTTCTTAATTAGCAGTTATTAAGTGTGACCAGTTAGCCATAATTGCCATATGCCCCAGTTTAATGGCCTTAATTGGTGCTAGATTCTTAATTACTTTGCTCAACGCTACGAAAATAAACAATTTTAGATACGGAGAGGCAATTCTGAAGTATTAAGCGTTAAATAGGGAAAGATTTAAAAATGTTAAATAAGCTGCTTTGAGAAGAAAAAACAGCGACTAAGCGAATTAGTAAATATTAATTAAGTGCCTGATCTAAGTTGAGGATATGCGAATAAATTTAATACTGTTAATTCTTTTTTTTGTACTATACAATAAACGTAAAAAAAATAAATAAAACATGATATGTCTTAGTTTTAAAAACTTTTAAGGAAAATCTATCCCTAAAGCTTATATAATTTTGTTCCCATAAATTCCATTTAGCTAACCATTTTTGCTAGATGGAATTTTTGGGTTGACATAAAATTTAGCCCGCGTTTTGTATATGAAAATATCTACGGCTAGCAATATTTTCAGTACAACGGGCACTTATATAATATAACAAATATTTTGTTTCATAAAAGTTTTTGAAATACACAACAAGCCAAGTCAAAATCAGCTTCGCAAACCGAATATAATAAGGCAAGGACTTGGTTCAAACCAGAAATATAACTTTTTTTGGGCTACAGACTTGTTTGTATTCAAAAGTCACAATTAGCAATAAAATAAAAATAGAGACAATAATAGTTATGCTTGTTTCTATAAGCTGAAATTTATATAAATAAATTTAATTTTATAAATAAAAGAAATTTATTTGTTTTTTGTCGCTTCAAACAGAATTTGACTGTAGTTCAAGCTTTCATCCGATATGAGAGCTAAGTATAAGGATCTTTGTAAATGACAATATACTTTACTCAAGGAAAATATCTTGAATTAAGATTGTAAATTATTTTTTCTTATATACAGCTAGCCAGCTTATTTTTTCTTTAATTTCCTGCTTACCCAACTGTTCAGCAACTGTTCCAGCAAACAGCAAACCAAAAATGTAGCGCAACTGCAAACAAAATATTTGATATGATCTGCAGCCTGACCTCATGTTGGGTTTGAGCTGCGGTTTTTGGCTTTCCCAGTTCAAAGCAATGTGTGTGAGTGTGTGTGTGTGTGTGGGGAGAGGGAGAGGGAGCTAGGATGCACACAAGATGCAAAATGTATGTTGTATAATGCAATTTTCAATTGGCAACCATGAAAATATAGTTTACAGAGCACTCTTCCAGCACCCCCCGCCCCCTATCCCCCCTCTCCACCCTTGATTTTTTTTTGCTCTGCTGTGATGCATGTGTTGGCTCTTAATTGAATTCAATGTGCACTTAAGCGACATCCGTTGATAATGAAATTCTGCTGCAAAAATTGTAGACGAAAGTGTGTGACTCGGACAAAGAGCTGGAAATATATATATATATTTTTTTTTTGTAGCCATGCAAATGCAAAGTTTTGCGTTTGCTTCCTTTATGGCGCAATAAATAATGCGAAATAAGTAGATGAAATGGCGGCGAGGCAAGGTTGGGGGGGAGTATTGGGAGCACAGCAACAGCTGCCTGGCAACGGCAAAGGCGACTTTCGAATGAAATTAAACTTCTGCTGGGAGCCAAGTTTCACAGCCAAAGCTGAGCGGGACGGACTTGGCGGTGTCTATGCTTTAGCCATATTTTATTTGATTTCATTCGATTTGATTTTATATTTGATTTCGTTTAATGCTTTATTTTACGCTTGCAAATAATCGATTTGTCAGTCAGTTTGAACGCGTTGACGTTTCCTCCATTTGTCTGTTCGTTGGAATGTTGGACCAAGTATGAGCAGCTGCCTCAATATTGCGCATAGCATTTGAAAACTCCACATAGCAAAGTACTACAAACAGCAGTAAATAAGTTTGTGCACATGTCAGTGCTTAAGCAAGAGTGTAGTCAACTAAGAGATACCCTATATGCAAGGTAAAGTATGGAGAAGAGACAGTTTCGATCTTATTTCTTAATTTTAAGTAAATATAATCTACAATTGGCATAAAGGAATCTACATACCAAATTTGGTCGCCATAACACCTGTAGAAGCTGAGTTCAGCTGGTTAGTCTTGGCTTTTCTCGAGAAAAGGCTAAGCTGCAATGAAAATTCTTGGTAAATAATGAATCTAGTGCATTTCAAAAGATACGTACCAAATTTGGTGCTTATCGTTTGCGTAGTTCCTGAGATCAAACGGACAGTCTGAAGAATAGGGCTGGTTGGCACCGTCTTTTGATTTAAAAACAGTATATATGCTTTATAGAGTCGAAAACACTTCTTCTGAGAGACTGTTTTTCTCTTTTCTCTTAATTTTAAGTAAATACAATTTACATTTTACATACCAAATTTAGTCGCCATAGCACTTGTAGAAGCTGAGTTCAGCTGGTCAGTCGTGGATTTTCTCGAGAAAAGGCTAAGCTGGAAAGTAAATTCTTGGTAAATAATGAACCTTGTGCATGTCAGAAGTTACGTACCAAATTGTATGCTTATCGTATGCGTAGTTCCTGAGATCAATCGGACAGTCTGAAGAATAGGGCCTATTATAAGCGCCTTCTTTCGATTTAAACACAGTTTATATGCCTTGTAGAGTAGAACGAATCTACTTCAGATTATTACCAACCATTTATGTAAGTTCATTAAGCACTCCAGCTCATTTGTTTAATGTACAGGGTATTAACATTCCTCACGATTGACTTCGCTTGGAGTTTTATTGATTGATTTTCAATGGCCAGAGCGAAAAGTGAGACAGACAATCAGCCAAAGCTATGAGCAATGCTTTCCAGCTGCAGCAGCTGCTGCCGCCAGGAGGACTCATCGCCTGCTGCTTTAACTCCGGCTCCGACTCCAACTCCGGCAACAGCTTTGGCTCCACACGCTGCGTATGCTCAATATATATATTGTGATGATGGCCACGTAGATGGTTAGTTGAGCTGCCGGCGCAACTTTGCACAAGAAATTCAAGCAATGATGAAGTGTTTTTATTGTGCTTATTGGCATGCGTTTTAATGAAGCACAACAGCTGAAGGCAGGCTGGAGAAGGGGGAAAGGGGAGCTGGGCGGTTGTTAACAGTCGGCATACACAACTCTATTAGGGGCCAATTTTCGTACAAGTACTAAATATAAATATGGTTATGGCAGTCGAAACTTTTTTCATTAAAACTCTTGAAACGCAAAAAGCTAAAGGACCAGCTGCTATAAGTGAGTGCAAAATGTTATTTTATTGTCAACAAGCAAAGTTACGAAAACAGAATTTGAGGGGGGGGGTAGACCCAGAAGTACCAGAGCTGAATTGTTGTGCTGCCAAAATTTATTTAATATGCAATATACACAGAGCAACAAGGACTTCGCACAGCGACAACAACATGACACGCTCATAAACTCATTTGAAGAACAGAAAGGCAACAACAACAACAACAACAACAACAACAGTTCACAGCTGCTTGTTTTTTAAGGGACAGCAAGGAATTTTTTAATAATACCTCAAGGATTTCACAGTGCAGACACTAAGGATACCATGAAATATACATAAATGTTGTTGTTGTTGTTGTCGTTGTTTGTGCTTTATGTCAAAGTCACAGCTAACCCACAACTGTGCCCGCAACTTTTTTCATTAATTTCGGAAAACGAGAAAAAACAAAACAAATTATCCCACCGGCTTCTGACGCATTAGCCACGGCGATTAAGCAAGCCCTCTGCTCCCCCCTCGAATCCACTCAATAACAAAAAAAAAAGTCTATAAAAATATTGCCACAACTTTTGCCAGCCTGCAGTCATTATCAATTCATGTCCGTGGAGGACGTGGCTGTCGGGGCCCGCAAGTGTGCATAATTTTTTGGTGCCAAAATTGAATTGATTAATAAAATATGGCATCCGGTACGAAATAGTCGGCACAGCGTTAACCCCTAGGCGCAGCATTTTAATTTCGTCTCACAGCTTGAATTTACTTGAAATATGTAAATTTATGCCAAAGATACCAAAATGGTTGGCAGTTCTTTGAATAATTAGGAACAGAAACCCTGGATAACATGACTATGCCTCAAGAATTGTTCTTTTGGCATTTTTAGCTTGTTCAATTTGGTTTTGTTTACACATTTTGCTTGAAAACCATTTTTAATTCTTTGTCAAAATTCATGTAAAAATGATACCCTCAAATATTCTATATAGGCATAGGTCAAAATTTTAAATTGATGACAACACATACATACATACACACATACATACCTACATACATACATACACATACAAACATACATACATACATACATACACACATACATACATACATACATACATACATACATACATACATACAAACATACATACATACATACATACATACATACATACATACATACATACATACATACATACATACATACATACATACATACATACATACATACATACATACATACATACATACATACATACATACATACATACATACATACATACATACATACATACATACATACATACATACATACATACATACATACATGCATACATACATACATACCTACATACATACATACATACCTACATACATACATACCTACATACATACCTACATACATACCTACATACATACCTACCTACATACGTACCTACATACATACATACATACATACATACATACATACATACATACATACATACATACATACATACATACCTACATACATACCTACAAAAATCCGCCTCCAACTCCGCCTCCAACTCCGCCCCCTTGGTCCTCCTCCTGGTCCACCTCCTGCTCCTCCGCCATGCTCCTCCGGCTCCTCAGCTTCCAGCGTTGAAGCCGCCTGCGCCTAATTCATAGGCGAAGCCAGCAGGCCTTACTTAAATTTTTGAGAATCGAGGAGGAGGGCAGCTTTAATAAACACGTTGTCTTATTTAAATTTGCCGCGCAACAAGACAAGTTGGTCTGCTATTGTTATAGAAGACAACTAACATGCATACAAACATACATATATACACACATACATGCATACACAAACACACACACATACATATACACACACACACACACACACATACATACATATATTCATACAAACATACATAATTACATAGAAATATTAATTCATTCATTCATGCATACATTAATACATTTATATACACATGCATGCATGCAAACATACATACATGCATACATACATACATATGTATGTATATACATAATCAATCCTTCCACTTAATATTACAAAGAATTCCATTTTCATTAGACAAATTATTATTAATTTAAATAGAAGAAATCGTCTACAGCTCTGCTGGAAATTAGTTATATTTCCATGGTATGACTTTTGAAAGTGAATTTTGTGACTAAAAACTATTTTCAGCAACAGTTTTGCTTAATTTTCTCGCATGTTTTCCGCTCTGCCGCTTGTAACCGCAGCTGCTACAGCGGATTCTTTTGGCACTGCGAGTGCATCCTGGCCAAAAAAAAAGAGGAGGAAAGGAAAGGAAAGGAAAGGAAACCAAAGCAAAAAGCATGCATATGCATGACGCATGTTGTTAATGGCATTTGGCGTGTGGGGAACTGGCCAAGAGACAAGTTGCTTCAAAAATCAACATCAGAGAAAAAAAAAGAGAAAAAACTAAGTGCTGGACTCTGTAGCTGTTGCCACAATCGCATCTGGAATGCACTTTGCCCGCAGAGAGAGAGAGAGGAGCTGCACGGAAAACTCAGAGAGAAATTGTGGGCTAAGGCTTAGCTGAATGTTGGGCTTATTCGCATAACTTTCGCTTTCCGCTTTGAAAGTCGTCGCTGCTGCTGCGCCCAAATGCCGGGCATATAATCTCTGACCCAAATCCCCGGAGTCACAGTCAGCGCGAGGAGGCGACGCCTGAAAGACCTTAAGCAAACTGTGTCACCTGGCGCAGCCTACCTGTATGAAGTAGGCGGGGGGGGGGGGCGTGGCAAAATAAATATTGGCACTTGCCTCAATAAAAGCGGGTTAGGGTAAGTCCTCTAGCCTGGCAAAAAATGGGTCACAAATCCGGCGGGGCGGGCGGCTTAACATTTGACTGAAGCAAATATGAAGCTCTAATCTAAGCCAAATAATTGCGAGCCGAAAAAAACACGGCTACACACATTCGCCTTGGCCCCCGCCCCCTCACCCGCAGCCTTTGAAATTTTAATGGCATTTAAGTGGGCGTGGCACTTGCGCTTGAATTAACAAATTAATGCAAATTGCGCACAACAACAGCCGGATGTCTGGCCACGCCCACTTATGCGCCCCCCCCCTCCACACTTATGCCAACATCTAATGAATATTTATGAACATTTTCTTGCCAGACGCAGTTGGGCTTATTTTTTTCTGCATTTCGATTTGCTCGAGCTCTAATTTAATTGCAACAGCAGGAGAAGGACAGCGTGAAGGACGTCAGCGCAACATCCGCATCCGCTTCCGCTTTGGCAGAACATCCGCAACAGCCGATGCTGACAATCGCATTAGAATGCGAGTTGCACCTTGATGGATGAGCGCCGCCGCCTCCGGCCGAAGTTTGCTGTCGATCAACAGCTACCTGTGCTACCTGTACACCGCCGCTTAATGCACTCATTTAATTGCATTATGCCGCAGGTCCTTGCATTGCCTCGGAGTGCTGGGAGTGGCATGTGGCAGGTGGCAGCCAGACGAAAACAATATGAAAGTCAACATTTCATCGACTTGTCGAAGCTTTAATACCCTTGTGGACATAGTTCTTGGCAATGCTTTTAAGAAAAAGCTTTATTTCCGACTGGTAAAGCATCCATTTACTTCCAATTGCAATTTGACAAGGCTTGGCAAAGTAATTGCTGAGTTTGTTGAAGAAAATTAAAAAAAAAGGGAGAAGCTTTTATAGAATTCTCGACCGATTATTCCTATTGCTGCTATATTATATAGTAATCCGATGTAGCTGAAATTTTTCTAATCAATAAAATGCTTTATAAAACTCATAAATGCCAAGTTTTTGTTTAAGATATCTTGAAAACATAAAAGTTTTTCATACAAAACTTAGTTTATGACCGATTGTTCCTATGGAAACTAGATTATATACTGATCCGATATTGATAAGATGTTGCTCATGTAAAACACTTATTGTAACTTATAAGCGCCTACTTAGGTCAAGATAACCTCAAAAACAGATAAGTTTTCCCTTTAAATACTTATTTGTCTACCAATACTTCCTATAGAGCTAAATGATATAGTAGCTATACGATATAGAGTATAGAGAGCTGTAGATAAAATTTTGGCTTTAAGTAAAAAGTATAATAAAACTCATAAAAGCCAAGTCTAGTTAAAATGTTAAAAAAAACGAGAAAAATTTTTCGATACATACTCATTTTTCCACCGATACTTCCTATAGAACTATATGATATATTAGTTCAATATAGATAAAATGTTGCTTAAATTTAGGGAGCATGACAAAACTCTTGAGTCCAAGATTGAGAAAGATATCATGAAGAACAATTTCTTTTAAACAATAACTTAATTTTCGACCGATTGTTCCTATGGAACTGTTTGATATATTAGTCAAATGTTGAATCGGATTTAGCTTAGATGCTGGAAATATGTTGTGGCTCATAATTGGTCTGTTTTGGTTATTATTTTTAGAAAAATCAATAAGTTTTTCATTGAAGAACTTCTAATATCAAACGAGAGATATTATATCATTTATGATATAGAACTCCGAATTGAACTAGACGGTTCTCTGATAAAAGCTAAAAGATTAGTTACCATTGCAACAGACGGATAACGACTCAGCTCGACTTGCTAATCAGGCAATTATCTAAAATACTTCTCTTTTATGCATACATCATAACAATATAATATTACCCCTTGTAAGGGTATTCACATCAACACCGCATTAATTTGCATATGAAAACCAGCTCCTTGGGTCCTCGGTCTGTCCCATTGACTTTAAATGAAGTCAAGAAGTTGCTGCTGCGGCTGCTTTTGTCAGCGCAGACTAAATGAAGAGCACGAAATGAGTAGAGCGGGCCATATATTTATAATCACAAAGGAAAGAAACGTATAATTGCAGGTGTGTTCTCGGAGATCTCCCACCATATTGCACTCAAATCCTAAAGCAAACGCATTCGGCCACATTTTGCAGTTGGTCCAGGTCCAAGGTGTGGCCGTTGCGCGGCAGCTGGACACAGCAATCGATGGGCAATGGGTCAACGGGTTGATCCTTGACCTCCTGCGGCTGACCCTTGTCCAGCCAATCGATAAACGCATTTGCGCCAAAATTGGACATACGGGTGCGCAGCATGTGATGAGCCATGGCGGCCTCATCGTTGTTGCGATACAGGATCAGATAGATGTAGCGCTGCGGCTGATACTCGTAGACGCACAGCTTGATATAGTTGCCCACAAGGCGCAGCTCCTGGTGCACCTGCAGCGGCGTCAGGTGGTTGACATTGTTCAGCACCAGAGTCTTCCGATTGCGCGATTCGCGCACCTGCACCTTCAGACGGGCCACGCGAAAGCGATGCTGCAGGCTAGATATTAATTCAAATAAATATATGTATTTATTTTAGATAGTTGAGATTTTCCTTACATTTCCAGTGCGAGCGCCTTGTGCTGGGCATCGATGTACTGTAGGTAGGCATAGCCACGGCTGCAGCCGGAGAAGTCGATCTTGAAGCGCAGCATATAGACGTCGCCCAGTTCGATGGCCACCTGCATAATGTGATCCGGCGTGCTGCGCTTGTGGATGCGTGTGAGAAACAGCTGTAAAATTGTGTGGCACGAATTAGTACTCAAAATGTTGCATTATATTATCATTGTGGTACACCTCGCCGGCGCCCGATTCCAGCTCGGCCAGCTGCTCTGTGGCCAGGGTCTGGCATGTTGTCACATAAATTGTGCCATTTATTTGACTTCTGCGATATTTGTGCTGCAAATTAAAATCCATTTCAACAAATGTGCAAAAAGTGCAAAACGCGTGCGCAGAGCTTGACTCGTGTTCAGTGTTGTAAAACGCGGCACACGCGGCGTTGCCAGAAGCTTTCTAGCTGGCAGCAAGTGCTGCCCAGCTTGCATTCAGACTGTCAGTGTTGCCAGACAGTGCTGCCCAGCTTAGGCATGTGAGCAGCTTACAGTGCTGCCCATAGCCTTTCCTCTGTGGCCATGCTGCGGCAATGAAAGTGCTGCCAGTTTGAATATTAAATGCAGCTTGAATTTCAAAGGCAAGTGTTGCCACATGACTTTTGAAATTGCAGTTGTTTTCGAATAAGACTAAATAAAGACTTGCTAAATAGCTGTCGCGATTTGTTTTTTTGTTGTATTTTTGAGCACATGTCAAGCCAGGGTTCGCCTTGTTTTTGGACAGGTTGTGCGTGCTTTTTTCTAGCTCATGCTTAACAATATAAATTAATGCAGGCCACACACAACTTTGGAACTGACAGCAGCCACAGACCGCAGCACCGACACTTGCTAGCTCTTCGTTGTTGTTGTGGTTGGGCCACCCACGGGGCAGGCTCTAGTCTGAGACTCAACCTGCTGCTGCACACTCAAGTGGCTGCTGCTGTTGTTGCGGCTGCTTCATTTTCCTAATTTATACGCGCGCAACGCTAATGAAAATTTGCGTGGCAAGGCAAGCCACATGCTTTGTTGCTGCTGCGAGCAAATCCTGCCCTGCTGCTGCTGCTGCTGCTGCTCTTGTGCTTATTGTAAATGACATGGCGTTGGTTCTGGCACTTCAAGGTGCATGCTGAGCGCCCGGCCACTCGTTGCTCCACTTGAGCCCCATGGGGTTGGGAAAGTTATGCGCAGCGCCCGTAGCATGCTTGGAGACAGCCATCATAATCCTGTCAGGGCCTACTACGGCGTCCTTGATAGGTTGTTTGAGGCACAGCAGCTGCCAGCCAAGGCTGACTACAAATCGAGCTTATTCGACATTCCAACAGAACTCTAGTCAATATAAATATATATATATATTTTGTATTATTGTATATAAATGAAGGAACCGAACGAGTTGTGGCTGGATCGCCATTTCAAGCAACAGCTTGTGGAATATAGCAAGGTCTTCCAGCAGACGGCCTGCGCCTCGGATCAGCTCATCATAGCCTATTGGCTGAAGATCTTTGGGTCGGCGTCCAAGCAACAGAAATGGGCCAGAAATGGCCTAATGCTGCTCATGTACGGCCACTTGAAGGAGATCGGGCATCTGCAGGTGCCATTCACCGATATGCGCAACGTTGGCAAGGATCTGAATGAGGTGCTGGACAGCTATACGGGACTGCCCGTTAAAGGCCAAGACAAGTCCACGCAAATCCTGTCGCCGTTGTGCAGAAAGCACGAAGGTGAGAGGGTATCCAATCCAACCAAGGATTGCGCCTTGGTTCAACAGTTGAAGGAACGCAAAGAGAATCCTGCCTCCGACTTGACAACGACTGGACGTCATCCTAGCCCCAGACCAGCTAATAAATTGTTTCGCACACTTTTCAAGAGCCAAACATCTAAATGCAAGGATCACAATTGTGACGAACCCAAACAACTTCAGATCCTTTATGACACATTCGATTCCCATGAGTGCTACAAAGGCGAGATACGTAATCCAACATCTTGTGATCGTAAGCTGACCAAGGTCGAGAGTAAAATAATGCACGAACTGAACGCAATTCTTGAACCCGTAAACGACTTGAAATCCTTGCCAGAATCAAGGAGGACTACCAGACCTTCAGAGTCGGATGAGCCCTGCTGTTCCAAGCACACCTTCAAATCGCGCTCCAATCAAAAGGAGCCCAAAGAATTAGATGCTTCGCTTACAGAGGACTATCCCAGCTATTGTGTTTCCTATTTGAGTGCGCGTTTGGAGGAATACACGAGCCTAGTCTCCGAGCAGGAAGATATAAATAACAAAGGTGATAATAAACAGGCTGTGCTGGTCACCTCGTTGCGCTCGGCGAGTGTTGCGGACAAAGGTTGTCAGGAGTCGCCCAGAGAGGTGGCGAGACGTGAGGCCCTGGATGCGGAGATGATGTACTTGCAGCGCCGCAATCGACAGCTGCGTCGCGAATGTCTCATATATTACAAGAAAAACGGAGATTTGCGACGGTATCCCAAATATCCCAAGGTTAAGGTGCGGAGTTTGGGGTTTCTAGTGGGCGCATATCGGGCGCATTGTCATTTCACGCGCTGGCCGAAAAGTCGGAACTACTTTCAGCAGGAGTTCGATCGGGTGCATGGCTGGCGGACTTATAGACGCATCCTGCTGGATAGCTCTGTGCCGAGCAGGCGCTGCCCCAAGCAGGTGGAGCTGCACTCCGAGAGGATCTATGCACGGAGATGAAGTATCTATCGGCGAAAATGGAGGCCAAATATTAACTTTGAATTGTAAATAAGCATAGTTATTTATTTTAAATAAAGCCTGGGCCAGTGCTGGCTAATGCTTGGGCATTTAACCATTAGCTGCACTTGATTTAAAAAATTAATTCCAGCTGCGCATAAATTAATTAAATTTGCGCGCTTTATTAAATTGCAGCGACTGGCTAAAGCAACAATAGCCCGGGGAGCTGCCGTTGTTTGAGGAGGAGAAAAATAAAAATAAACAATCTGCTCGTAAACAGCAGCTAATATTTTTTAATTATGCAACACTGCACAATGCACAATGCGAAACAAAAATGGCTGCCAGCTGCGCGAGACGCGCGCCGCCATTTTGTAAGCAGCTGAAATTAGCAAAGGGCATAAAAGAAGCAGCAGCTGCAGCAGCTAGCAAAGCGGAAATAAAATGAACTGTCGCCAAAAGCCGTCGCAAGTTGTTCGCGTTGTTGCAATTGTCGTGCGGTGGGCGTGGGTGTGGGCGTGGGCGTGTGGGCGTGGGCGTGGTCAAGCGGCAATTGCAAATGGTCAATGAACTTGCCACAAAGTTGAAGTAGCTGCCGCAAAACTGCGGCAAATATGCTTGCATAGCTACAGTGCAACAGCCCTAAAGTGAACAGAAAAGAGAACAAAATATTTACAGAGAAATATTTAATCAAAATAAAAGTAAATTACAATCGAGTATCACAAGGGGGTGAAGTTCTTGTAAAAACGTACCAAAAAGCTTTTTGTTCTTGGTTCTATTTCTTAAAATATCCACAAATGTTTTAGTGTTGGAAAGTTCACAAAGGGACCAAGGTCTGTTGAAAGCGTGGCTAAGTTTTAGTTTTATACCTTAACTTACATACAGCCAGAGCTAAAAGCTAAAAGAAAATTAACAAAAATACTAATGTATTTATCGAAAATAGCAACCAGTGTTGGGTAACTGCAATATATGCAATATATACGATGGTTGCTAGAACTCTAATGAAGAGTCTACTCTATCTATATACACTCATTGAATACATTCATTTTTGGACTTGTTCACCCGAACGAGTGTGCACTGTAAAACTAGTGTTGGGTAGCTATGAAAATATCACAGTTGATAAATTACAAATGGAGACTTTATTCCATATACCTACACTCTTTGCAAATATTAGTTTTGAAGCTTGATCACCTTAACAAGGGTGCACTGTATAGAAAATAAAAGCTAGTGTTGGGTAGCAACATTATATACAAAATATACTATGTATACTACAGTATAATGAAGAATTTGTTTCATAATCCTACACTCATTGAAAAAAATTCAGTTAACTCGTTCATCGTAACGAGTGTGCACTGTCTGTGCCTATGCATATATTGCAAATGGCTTCATCAGCTTTTGACTATGCAAATTTATGGTTTATATTTAGGCATTTTGCACACAACGTTCACAGTTCCGTCTGCGGCTGCATAAATTAATTATTTATGGCTTGTGAAACATGTTGCTTAACTTTATCCCCCCTCCCCTCTCCGCTCTCGTTAGAACTATTCTCTGTCTCCCTCTCTCTCTCACTCTCTTCCTCTCTTCCTCTCTGCATAGTTAAAGCTGACAACAACATCATCATCAACGTTTGTTTGTTCAGTTGCGAATTTTGTGGCCTAGAGAGCTGTGCTGATTGGAGGCAACGCCTTTAGGCGTCACCCCCAGGGCTTATCTAATAGAATTGATCGCAAAATATGGTCTTGTTTTTAGCTGTCTTATTTTTCTCCCTTCATTTTGCATTCGTTGTTTTTATTTTCTCGATTTTTGGGCTCATTTGCATGCGCGGCACGCACACATAATTATAATTTTTACAACGTCTAAATAAACGCAAATATCTTATGCACAAAGGCAACCGAGACACAGCTCAACAGGCGAATGGGCTCCGGTAGGGATAGAGCGCGGGCCCAGCGACGCGGCTCTGTGGATGTGCTCAGCGGTCTGTTTGTAATGAATGACAGTCCAAAGATGGTAGCCGATATAAAGCGATACGTTTGCAAATTCTAGAAAAAGGCAACTTACTGTGGGGTAACACGAATTAGATGATCAGTTGAGCAACAGTGTTGGAAAACGATTTGTGCATGTAAGTAAAAAGTAGGTAAATGTACCACAGACAGAAAACAATTGAAAGCAGAAGAAATCTATAGTCAAATCTGGAACTTACTGATTATTTATATCAAGTATTTAAGTTAGTGTTGAAAAGCGAAATATGATTGTTAGGGGTTGACTGCAGGAAGTTGAATAGTATAAACTAGAGAGAAGAAAAGGTCTGTTTACAAAATGTGTTACTAACTTAAACAAAGAGCTTACTTTTCATAGAAGAAGTGCCTAAAACAGTGCTGGAAAACGATGGCTGATTGTTAACGAAAAACCTAAATGACATGATTGTTAAAGAGAGACTGTTAAAGAAGAGAAGAAAAAATCAGTTTGCAAAATGTGGAACTAACTAAAATAAAGTGCTGAAAACAGTGCTGGAAAACGATGGCTGATTGCTAAGCAGAGACTGAATGACATGATTGTTAATAAGAGACTAAAGGAAGTTGAATAGAAATGAAGACAAGAAAAAGTCTGTTGAGAAGAGACCAAAAGGCAATTTATACAAAAAGAGAAGAATAATTCAGTTAGCAAGATTTTAAATCAACTAAAATTTCTTTGGCGACCCATTTTCACAAGTCAAGCAAAGTAAACGGTCAAAACAGTGTTGGTAAATGGCTAGAGATAATTGTAATTCCAGGCTTAAATGAAGTATTTGTTTGGTAATTTTAGAGCTTGATAATGAAAATAATTGTTGCTTTAATTGTAAGCAAATGCCGCTTAAAATTCCCAAATGCTTTTAGCTGGCATAGTTGATCAACACTTATATTTATATATATTTATAGGGTATTCACATATTAACATATTGAGAATACATTTTTTGTCGTACTTCTTGCTGCTGATTCTTTTATTTAACAATTTCAAATAGCATTACAATATAATTTATGCGCCTTATTGCGCTCAGCAGAACACAGCGACATATTAACGACACTCTCACGCTCTCCCAACTGACGTCAGCCGGACAACCGGGCAGCCGGACAACTGGTCAGCCGGACGACTGGGCAGCCGGACGACTGGGCAACTGGAGAAGGCTATAAATATGATTGACATGCCCGACGGTTCAGTCAATCAAATTTTGGATATCAGACACGCAACACTTGGCCGGGACAACCAACAAGAAAAAAAGAATGCTGCTCAAAGTGCTGCTGGTGAGTGTTGGCAGCTGTTGCTAATCAAAGCTGAGCGAGTGTGCGAGTGTGTGTGTGTGTGTGTCTATCTTTTACTCATCATTTTGATATCAATTTGGCAGCTCACACTGACGCTCTGTCTGGGCCTGCTCTGCGCCGGCTGCTCGGCGAAGCCGCATTTGCTGGCTGCCACGCCAGTTGGATATGCAACGCCGCCCGGCGGCGGCACCTGGCTGGCTGCGGCAGCGGCGCCTGTTGCAGGTGTCGTCAGCGCTGCCGGCTACTATCCGGCCTATGCCGCGTATACGCCGTATACGCCGGTCTATTATGGCTCATATGCCGCATATCCCGCCTATTATCCCGCCTACCTGAGGCGCTGATTGCCTGTTGCTCTTCAATATACTTCAATATATATATGCATCTATATATATGTGGACATGGGTGTATGTGCATGTGCGGGACTCTACAAAATTGATTAAATTTAAACGCGCTCTGTGTGTGTGTGTGTGCGAGAATATCTCATATTTTACGCTGTTTTTACGTTGATTCGATTTAGCGGCTGCTGTAAATAAAATTAAAAAGAAAACCGACACACATTTATGAAATCAACATGCTAACACACACACACACACACACACACAGACACACACACACTTAAACATAGAATACTAAACAAATCAATAAAAAAAAGAAGGCAGCCTTATATACACGTGTTTCTTTGTAGCTAAAGCTGTGCCCGTAACTGTATCTGTATCTGTATCTGTGCCTGTAAATGTATCTGTAGCTGTGCCTGCAAATGTATCTGTAGCTGTGCCTGCAAATGTATCTGTAGCCGTAGCTGTGCCTGGCAGCCGCAGCTGCGAGCATTGGCTGAGGGATTTTCATTTGGTCCTTTGAAATTTGCTTACATGTGCGCATATTTTCACCTGCACGTCTTCCTTTTTGCCATGACAGTGAGTGAGGGAGGGGGGAGGGGGGGGGGGGTGTTCGTCTCCAGGTGCCTCACAAGATGTCTTCCGATTGCTGTCTGTGTAACTTGGTAACCCGCTACTGATTTACCTTACGTGTATAAATCTTTTATTCATGTAATCCATTTGAAAACACGTTTGCACATGATTGTGTTTATTTCGAAACGGAATCTCTTCCAGCAGCTCCTCTGTGTGCCTGTGTGTGCCTGAGTGTGTGTGTGTGTGGGTCTGCCTTGATTTGAAAAATCGTCAAAATTATATAAAGTGAATACAAATTTTATTGACTCAATTTTTATTGCTTGCCAGCTTGGCCAAAAGCAAACATTTGCCCATATTTCTCATTACGGCTGCATGCTTTTTCCAAATAGTTTTTCCGGTTTGATTTGGTTTCTATTGGTTTTTCCATTTTCTCCACCATTTTTCTTTTTTTCCAGCTGCAACTTTAATACATTTATTTTAATTGGACCGAACTTACAAGCTAAAAATTGTGCGCCATAAATAACGAATTTTATTTTGCGCAAAATAACAAAATGGTAAATCAAAAATTTTATAAACTCCTGCTAAAGCAAATAAACACAATTTACTTGCGAAAAATTCTCAACGAAATGTTGTAAAATAATTAAATTTAATTGCAGCATTTTTTTTTCTGACGAACACAAAATCGAGAGCAAATAGTTAAAACATATTGAAATTGCTTGAGAACAAACACAAAAATGCAATTCACATAACTTTCTGGGCTTAAAATAGTTTGTAAAAAAATCAAATATATTTTGTAGAATTTATTGCGAAAATAAATCTGGCCGCAAATATGGCAAATGGTAAACTATTTCAAGGAGAAATCGTAAAAATTGTATTTATTATTTATTTTATATATTTTTGTGCTTATATTTAAAACTTTTTTATCAAACATTAAACGAAATAAGAGAAAAGAGCTAAATATTGTAACATTTTCCAACACTATTTATTGCAAATGGTAAACTATTTCAAGGAGAAATCGTAAAAATTGTATTTATTATTTATTTTATATATTTTTGTGCTTATACTTAAAACTTTTTTATCAAAGATTAAACGAAATAAGAGAAAAGAGCTAAATATTGTAACATTTTCCAACACTATTTATTGCAAATGGTAAACTATTCCAAAGAGAAACCTATAAAAATTGTATTTATTATTTATTTTATATATTTTTGTGGTCACATTTTAAACTTTATTACCAAAGATTAACCGAAATAAGAGAAAAGAGCTAAATATTGAAACATTTTCCAACACTATTTATTGCAAATGGTAAACTATTTCAAGGAGAAATCGTAAAAATTGTATTTATTATTTATTTTATATATTTCTGTGCTTATATTTAAAACTTTTTTATCAAACATTAAACGAAATAAGAGAAAAGAGCTAAATATTGTAACATTTTCCAACACTATTTATTGCAAATGGTAAACTACTGCAAAGAAAATTATAAAAATTGTATTTATTATTTATTTTATATATTTTTGTGCTTATATTTAAAACTTTTTTATCAAAGATTAACCGAAATAAGAGAAAAGAGCTAAATATTGTAGAATTTTCCAACACTATTTATTGCAAATGGTAAGCTATTGCAAGGAGAAGCCTATAAAAATTGTATTTATTATTTATTTTATATAATTTTGTGCTAATATTTTAAACTTCATTATCAAAGGATATCAGAAATGAGAAATAATGCGTAAATATTGTAGAATTTTCCAACACTATTTTTTGCAATTGCTTCAAAATTAGTTGTAAGGTCAAGCGAGAAGGTGGATAAGCAGTTCTGAGCATAAGAATTGCTTCAGTTTAATCTACCTGTTGTTTATAAATTACAGGGTATATGCATTAGCGCGTGCTCGAGCGCATTTAAATGCAGCTAGCTGCAAAGTTTTCAGCTTCACGCAGTTTTTTATTGAATAAAAGGTCATTAAATTTGGACGCTATCTGTTGCCGAGAAGTTGTGAAAATTCTGCAGTCACTTCACTGAATTCCCCAAGATTCCCATCCCTCGCCTGCAACTCCTCCTCCTGCTCCTCCTCGTCCGTGTAGCTGTTCCGCCACGCATTTGGGTTTTTACAAGACTTTTCCGCTTACGTTGCACAAAACTTTACAACTACTTGGCATTTACTACCTGTGCAGCAGCTGGAGCGCAGGATGAGCGGAGGACGATGCCAAAGTTATGATAAGCAGGAGCAGCTCCGATGCGCCGGCAACGCTGTCGCCATCATCATACTCCAGCTGCGTTGCCCGGGGCGCTCTCAGGCTTTCAACGCGCCGTCGAGGGAGGGAGAGAGGGAGGGAGGGAGGGACTGTGGCAGTCGCATAAAGTCAAGCAGAAAACTTGACTGCCGCTGGGCCAGGAAGCGCTGAAAGGAAGCATATTTCATATAAAAGAAATCCTTTTTAAATAGAAAGTTTAATCCTAGCAAGAAAAACTTGCGCCAGGTGGGGCTGCTCAGATCCTTAAATTTCGATAAGGCCCTACAACAACAAACTAGAAAAAATTGCAGGAATATAGAGTGAACGACTAGAAGTCACCCAAATGAGTTTGAACCAGCGACAGTTTTATTTGGGCTAGAAGCCCTGGCATATACCAAAGTTGGTTTGAACCAGCGACTTACCCTGGCACACGGAAACACACACAATTTTAACTATGAATCAACCGTTAAGCCAAGCAGATAGTTTACCTTAAAGCAGAAAGTGGGTTTGAACCAGCGAATATTTATTTTTGGGCTTATAGCGTTGGCAAAGTTGGTTTGAACCAGCGACTATTTATATGCCACTGAAGTTTGGCCTCTAAAAATACGAAGTCGTGGGAAATGGTATCCAATAATCAAAATATTGTGGCTACGACACCCGAATGAACCGAAATTGTAGACCCTTTCTCTTATAGACTGCATGATACCCTAACTATTGTGGGGTAATCGATAAAAAACCATTTCTAAGCCTGATATTAAAGAACAAATATTGGAATATTTAAACTCTATCGGGATATATGGAAGATATGCCGACTTCTATCTGTTACCTCTACCCTGCTAGTTCCCAGATACAGGGTATACAGCAAATGCTGCCCAACCCCCACTCCAATCCTCAACCCTTTACAAAACTGTTGCCAGGCAAAGCACATTGAGGCGTGATCCGAGCCCAGCCGGGCATTAACTTAAAGCTGCAGCCCAGCTCAGAGTCCATTTTGATTAACTAATTTAGTGTAGTTGGCTTTTGCGGATGTATATACTATATGTACAAATCTTTATTTACACCAGAGAGAATGTCAAGAATTGGTCACATTTGAGCGCTTCACTTCTTCAGCAGCACGGGCGCAGCGACGGGCGCGCTGTACGCCAGCGGAGCAGCTGCGGCATAGCGGGCGATGGGTGCAGCAAAGGGCGAGGTGTAGGCGGCGGCAAAGGGTGAGCTGTAGGCGGCAGCAATGGGAGCGGAGTAGGCGGCGGCAATAGGTGAGCTGTAGGCGGCGGCAATAGGTGAGGTGTAGGCGGCAGCAACTGGAGCGGTATAGGCGGCGGTGTAGGCAGCTGGGAAGGCGGCGCTATGGGCCACCTGGTGGGCGGTGTAGCTGGAGGCATAGGGTGCCACGTAGGCGGCGCTGCCGACGACAGCTGGTGCGGTGTAGGCCAAAGGAGCCACAATGCCGGGCTTGGCAGCAGCCACAGCCACAACAGCGAAGAAGCAGACGGCGAACTACGGAAGATTCAACAATTGAAGATGCAACTGGAACTGGAGCAGGAGCAGGAACTGGGAGATACTTACGAATTTCATGTTTGGTTGTTTTGGTTGTTTTGGTTGTTTTGGCTTGTTGACACTTGAAGCTGTGAGCGTTGTTTGATATGGTTTTTGGCCAGCTGCTGGCTTTTTATAGTCGCTCCAAGAGACATGACGCATCCCCCCGAGAGGGGCCTCGACCGAAGGTTGCGCTTACAAATGCAGCGGGCATAGCTGACGGCGCGACGTTGACATCGACATCGACTTGGCTCGACTTGGCTCTGGCGTTTAGTGGGCCACCTTTTTTTCTGTTTTTTTTTTTATTGTTGTAAATCGCATTTGGCACGTGCGTCGGCCTTTTGGTAATTTGATTGGGTTTTGCGTAAAAAAAAAGCAATTGAAATGCGGCTTCCTTCACACAAAGGCCATAAACCAATTATAAAATACAAAACTTTGAAATATTCAACACGAACATCCCCTGGCAAATGCGAGCCGGGCAGGAAGAAGCATACAAAGGAGTTGTGCCAGGGCTGAAAAGCCATATGGGACTGGCCAGGATATTCAATGAAAATATTTAATTGAATATTAGTTGAACTTTATTTTATTTCAGTTTCAGCATTTAAACGATTTCTATCTCAAGAATTGATGTTTAATGTTCTTTTTAGAAAATATAAAATAAACAACAAGTGGAAGAAATTTGAAAGTGAAATATTCTTGGATTTTGTATACTATGCCAAATTTTGAGTCTCAAGCTCTTCCAATCTTCGAAATAATAACAAAGCGATGCTTAAGATCGATAAATATAGGTTTTGCATGGTTAAGCAAATGATCCCACATTTATTTTTAAGTATGCTTTTGTTGAAGCTAAAGCCAAATTGAAAGTGTCTGGCTCTTAGGGTCTCTCCGAACAAAGTGTCAAATTAAGAGTCTCATTTCTAATCTTCGAGACTTCGATATTAATCGATATTGGAGAAATATGGGAATTAGTGCAGGTATCTAGCTCTTAGATTCTCTGGGATCAACTTGTTTGCGTAGAAGGGTAAAATCTTAAACTAAATCGATATTTATCGCGACTTTGATATTAATCGATTTTGGCGAAAGATGGCTATTATCGCAAGCTTATGCTACGTATTTTAAAGGGAAACTATAACTAAATTGGAAGAGGCAAACTCTTAGGGTCTCTGGAATAGACGTATTTTGCTTAGAGGGGTAAAATAGGGCTCTTATTCAAAATCGATATTTATCGAAGTCAAGCGTCACTTTGTTATTAGCTCGCGACATCGATATTTATCAAATTTGGAGATGTATTTCTAAGGGAAGCTAAAACCAAAGAAAAATCAAATGTGTTTAGCCCTTAGGGTCTCTGGGAGCAACGTGTTTGCTTAGAGTGCTAAAATAGGGCTCTCAACCTGATGAAATATGAAATATATATATATATATATAAATATATACATATATAGGTAGATGCCTCCTCTTGCCTGCTCCTTAAATTTTCTACAGAATAATAACAATTTCTATAGCAAAAAAATCGCGATAAAGCAAGCCAATTATAAAGTTGTAAGCCAAATTGATTGAAGAAAAGTTCTCGTGAAAGTGTTGAGAGCTCCAGCCCTGAGTTCAGGACCTGCACACAGTGTTGGGCAATTGTTCAATCCGTCGCATAGTTGTTGTTGTTGTTGTTGCTGGCACTTTATCATGAATAATTTGTTGAAACCACTTAAAGGCAGCAGCCGCCGTCAAATGTCGCACGCATTTCTAGACAAATTCAAAACAAAATTTATAATAGACTCCGCTGTCGATGTGTGCGTGTGCGAGCGTGTGTGTGTGTGAGGGTGTGCGTGTGTGTGTGTCGCTCACGTTTTACGGCACTTGAGCGACGCATTAACGCGCGCGCACAGCTGCTGCTGCTGCCACGCCCAGCTCCTAGACGCCTTTTATTATGGGCAATAAAGCGAAGTTCGCGAAGGCGAAAGGCAGCACAGCAAAAAGTGGCGCATATTTTACGCAGCCTCCAAAAGGGGCGGGGTTCGATATGGGCAGAGGGAGAGGGAGTGGGAGTGGGAGGGAGGGGGCGGGGCGTTCTTGTTTGAGCGCTTTGTGTCGCGCTTTTTGCGTTTGCTCGCTTTTTTGTGCGAATTTCTTTTTTAATTACTCGCTGCCACTTAGCCATGCAACACTTGCCACAGGAGCTGGGGCCAGCTGCAGCTGCTTTGATATGTTGCCAGCGCTTGGGGTCACTTGAGAATTGCGCGCCGCACTCGAAATGCGTCGCGTTTTTGTTGTTGTCATTCTTGTGTTTAAGTCAGCTGCATTAAAGCTTTTAGGCGGATTAAGCAATATGCGGCGTTATTTACTTGCAGCGTCAAACTTGACAATGAAAGCGCTGCCACGCCCCCATACATATTGGGCAGCCCCCCAAGTCAAGTGACAAAACAAATATGCGGCCCTTGTTGCTGCTGCTGCTGCTTAATTTCAATGGCTGCGCAACATGATTGTGCATTTAGTAGGCGGCTGCCACGCCCACTCCGGCACAGACGAATTTTGTACGTTGCGTATGCAGAGTCACAAGGCAAGGCACTTGGGGCAGGCCAAGAGGAAGCCAGGCAAATCCTTCAGCGGCAACATCGTCATCAGCAGCAGCAGCTGCAACAACAACAAAGGTGAAATATTCCGAACAACTTTGTTAGCTGTGGCATGTTACAGACACCCACTCGAACGTATCCCAAACCAGACACCACCCCACCGCCCTCTCTCTCTCTCTCTCGCTCTCTCTGCACAACCCAACCCTCCCACGATTCTTGCAAAATCGCGTAATTGGCATTTTTAAGCAAAATTCACGCTTCAACACTTTTTTGAGTGCATGTATGTATGTGTGTGTGTGTGTGTGGGTGAGTGTGTGCTTGTGTGTGTGTGTGCGTGTTGGGTTATTTGTAAACACCTTGAAGCAGCGCACACACACTCGATACGTCTAATTAGTGCGATTTAAGCGCTGCAATTTCCCAAACCCTTTTTTTCCTGCGCATTTTTTGCAATTTATGACATTTGTTAATTAATTTTCCTTTGAATTGTGGATGGGGCGAGCTGTTTATCAATATAAGCTCTTAAGTACTTGCATGGAATGACAGGGTGGACTGTCGGCAAAGCTGTTGGGGTTGCTGACGGAGCAGGAGAAGGGGCAGGGGAGGGGGGCTTATTAAGTGTATACACATTATGAGCATATGGCGCACAAACAGTTAATCAAGCTGAGCGCAAAATTCAATGAAAATAGCGAACGCGAAATAATTGAAAATATGCATATGCATGTAAGTGTGTACATACAAATATATATAAAAAATAAAATTAAATAGTGGGAATGCAATACGGCAGCCAATGGCAGCAAATTGTAATTGTTGTGCATATGGAATTTAACAGCTTTAATTAAATAAAATTTAACTACTGCAATATAAACGAATATGTGTAATCTCATTTTTCTACAACTTAATCAAAATGCACTAAAATACCAGAAATACCATAAAAAAGTGTTAAGTATTTCGCGCATTAGACCCATTTTTAGCACAGTCTGGCAGCACTAGCATGTTATTATATTCGCTGACTCATTTTGAAAACTCACAAACTGCGTTCGGTTATCAATTAATATAAACAATTAAAATGCAATTCGTATTTGTGATATCGTTAATCATACGGTTTGTTTGTGCTACCGTTTCGGCACGGTAATACCCACGGACAAGCTATTTAGCTGCAGCCCAAGGTCATGGACAAATCAAAAGTAACGGACGCCAGGCACGCAGCGCGCCAAGACCCATTAAGCTAGAGGAGAGACCGCAGAGCCGCAATCAAATGTTGTTGCTGGCCAAGAATTGCGCATGCGCAACATGGACAGCATTGTCTTTGTCGTCGCCAGTCGTTGACTTGGCCAGCCGCTGCGCGTGCTCCGCATACCGAAACAGCTGCCCAACAACGGCCCCAAAATTGAAAAGTGTAAGTGTTGGCCGTCGGCGGCTTGGCTATAAAAGCACAGCGTCGTCTTCCAATTGGCATCACAAATCAACTGGTCATTCACTAGCTGACAACTAACCCAAAAATCCAAAACACCCAACATGAAATTCGTAAGTACCTCCCAGCTCCCAGCTCCAGTTCCAGTTGCATCTTCAATTGTTGAATCTTCCGTAGTTCGCCGTCTGCTTCTTCGCTGTTGTGGCTGTGGCTGCTGCCAAGCCGGGCATTGTGGCTCCTTTGGCCTACACCGCACCAGCTGTCGTCGGCAGCGCCGCCTACGTGGCACCCTATGCCTCCAGCTACACCGCCCACCAGGTGGCCCATAGCGCCGCCTTCCCAGCTGCCTACACCGCCCCCATCGCCGCCGCCGCCTACACCGCTCCAGTTGCTGCCGCCTACACCTCACCCATTGCTGCCGCCTACAGCTCACCCTTTGCTGCTGCCTACACCTCGCCTTTTGCAGCACCGATCGCCCGCTATGCCGCTGCAGCTCCTCTGGCCTACAGCGCTCCGTTTGCTGCTCCTTATGTTGCTCGTCCCTATGCCGCCGCGCCCCTGCTGCTGAAGAAGTAGAGTGTGCCTAGACCATGGAAGTAGTGCGACATGTTTTTAGACCATGGGCATATATTTCGCACCTCCTGCACCTCCAATCCCCCCTTTATGTGATTTTGTTTACGACATAAAATAAAAGTTTAAGTTTCATTGAAATATTTTTGGGTTTTTTTCCGCTCTTCATTTTGTCCTCGTTTGGCATGCAGAGCGCTTGGCTGCGCAAATATTTCAGCTGCTTCATTAGCTTCTTTAATGAGCTGATCAACTAGGCACCATTATAGCCTCAAGACCAGAGCCAGTCGCTGAGCTGCATATTAATGGACGACTGTCTACCGGCTATGATGATATATCTGCATATATATCTGGGCATAAACTATGTGTTTTTATGGGTACTCATATATTTAAAACTTTATATCTATATCATTTGGGTATATCCTGGTTTCCTGAGAGATTCCGTTCAAAACAACTTATCCAGTGTTGTATAATGATTATATATTATGTTAATAATTTATTATGCTTCTATATACCATTTTTTATGTAAATTAATATTATAACGCCATTTTATATTTTAATTTTATTATAATTTAATTTATCTGCTAGCCATAATTACCGCAGAGACCGTTAGTCCATCAAATGTCTGGCAACTCCCACACACAGATATCCAGTTACAAGCTTCAAGTCCTGCAGCCAACGGAGACGAACATCCTTGAAGAGGTAGCAAATTAAAATTGACACCTGCTGTTGATGTTCCTGCTGCTGCTGCTGCTCCTGCTGCTGCTGATATCTCCGTTAATGAGGAAACCGAAATACGTCAGCAGCTACGTCGTAATCCAAATGCGAATGATGATTTAATGGTACCTCGAGCTACATCTCAAGTTCGCCCAGCCCGAAACTAGATGGTTATTCAATTTGTGTAGTCCGGAAAACTGATAAGCATTGGTTAGGTCAGGACCAGGGCCTGGGTCGGGGAGGGGAGGGGTCATTGGTAGTTGGGCAGAAGTTTGGGCAATTATCGTTTCGACTGAACTTCAGCTTCAAGTTGAGCGGGTCGACAAAAGTTTCTGACTTTATTGTTGACTTTGTTAAATGTGGCTAAATGGGCGTAAATGACCAGCAACAACAACGCACAGCAGCAACAGGCTGGCACATGTGGGTGTGCGCATGTATGTATGTGTGTGTGTGTTAAAGGGTTCAAAAGTTAAAGCGACCTTCTCTTTTGCGATCCCATGCACAGGCAAATATGCTGCTGCTCCCTTTACCTTTCTTTTTTTGTGTGGGTCTGGCAACGCTCCGCTTTCATTATAAAAACTGACAGCGCGTAAGAAACTTCTTGCGGTTACTTTGAAGCAGGTAGCAAAAAGACGCATTGAAATGTAAACATAAGTAGAGAAGCTTTGCCACACAAACAAACAGACAGCAACAGCAACAGCAGCAACAACAACGTGTACCTCATTATAGCAAAAAGGACGTACGTTGTATCCCTCATCCGCATCCGTTGGAATTATGCGGCATTGTCTAAAAATGAGTTTTCGTTGCTTGTTGCTATTTTTACGTTTCATCGAACAAAAGCAAAGTACCTTGCAATGGCAGCAGCAACAGCAACAACAACAGCAACAACGGAGCTAAAAGCTGGCAAACATAAAGCATTAAGCTCACGAAAGGCGAAAAAGCGTAGAAGCAGAAGAAACAGCGGAGTAACAAGTCGAAAAAGACAAGCCACAAGCACTCAGAGCCATGACAGTAGGATTGGCGGGGGTGTGAGAGCATGGAGCGGGGAGTGGGGTACAGCTTAACGAATCAGCGCACACCCAAAACCCCCCCCAACCGCTCGAATGCAACGGGTCCTGCCCAGCATAATACATTGTGTGCATGTATATGTGTACATGTGCAATGCAAAGGTGTGTGCGCACTGGTGCAGGCGACAAATGTGACGAATGCGTTTTAAAAAAGCTTAATACGTAAGTGATCTATAAAACATTAATAATATTTATATTAATTACTAATCCATAAAATATGTTGTGTTTAAATAAATTGTGTTTTGGGGCAGGGTTTGAACTAAGCTTTGTTTTGTAAACCAAAATTAAAAAAATATTAAATTAAATTAAGATTTGTGTACGCTTTATTTTTGACTGATTGATTCGGACTGCCATATCTAATTCGTTTAGCTGAAAATGTTGATACATTTTATTATAATATTAATAGATTAGAGAAAATTATTAGATTTTACTAATATTTTCCTCTGACACACAATTGGAATTGCAATACTTCCCTTCTTTAAGTTTTGTCGCCTGACCACCATAATACCCATAAAGTAATGCAACTGCAGGGTTGCCTTTTTGTGTGTGTGTGTGTGTGCGTGCGTATGTGTGCACAGCATGCTGTTACATGGTCTTGGGCTGCTGTACACCTGCACACGCCGCCCCACCACTCGCCACTTTCCCCCTGCCCCTGGCTGTCGCATTAAGTGAAGCACGCGGCATGTTGGCTCAAAATGAAGTGCTGACAACGCGATGTTGCCGCTGTCGTCGGCTGCTGCTGCCGCTGCTGCTGCCGCTGCTGCTGCCGCTGCTGCTGCCGCTGCTGCTGCTGTTTTGCCCCTGCCCGTTAGCTGCTAAGCGTCTTACGGTTTTAGCGCCAGACCGCAGACACACACGCACACATAGACAAAGCGAAGACAAAGGAATTGGTGCGGTTGCCACTCCACTTGCTACGGGTGAACCTGGAGCTGAAGTTGGAACGGGAACTGGAACTGGTGCTGGCAACTCCTTCGCCTTCTCCTGCTGCCTGTTTAATTTACGCGCTGCTATTATTTTAATCTTTTGCGCAACAACAGCGTGAAATGACTTTCACCTGGCCTCTTGCTTTACCTTTGGGGTGGGGGAGACAGACGCGTCGCGTCGCCGCGACTTCATCTTTGTTTGGCTCAAAAGCATTTAGCACAAGGTGAGCTCGGCTGACAGTTGGCAGGGAAACTGCTTTTCGGGTGCCTCAAGGCCTGCTCCCTCCATCATCCAGCCACATGTGCGACTTCCTTTTATTGTTTTATGTGGCTGTCCCTCAGCCAACCACACTCGCTGCTGATCTGCTATTCAGGTGCGAAATAAACGAGCTCTCCTTCAAAGCGTACATCATCGCGTGCCTGGCCCGCGAAATCTCCTGGCCAAAAACAGAAGGAGTCGGTGGGCCATGCCCGTCTAATGCCTCAAATCATTTTCATTTCTTGCCAAGTGCTGAGCGGCTCAAGACATGCTTCTGGCTGCTGACACCTGTCCCGCTCCTCCTCCCCCCCCCCTCCCGTGTTTTTAGTGCTTGCCACTGATGCTCAGCTTCGCTCTTTCAGCTAGTTTCGTTTTTTTTGTTCGCTTTTTGCTTTTTGCACTATGTAACATTACAATATTTTAAGAGATTTACTGACCGATGTTAGGCAGCTGCAGCTGTAGCTGCAAAGTGCAAAGCGCTGTAAAATATTACGTATACGCAGTCAGGCACCTGGAAAAAGTCGGGATTTGTAACGCCAAGTTAAACATTTGTTTGGATTCAACAACAGTTGCGTTCGGACAGTTAAATATGCGCGCTCAAATATTTAGACAATAATTCAAAACAAGATGGAAGCGTTATCTGTGCCATGCCACAGCTAAAATATTGCTGCCAACAATGTTAAACAAAATACAATAGGTTTGAGTTGGGCGAAATGAATTAAATTTCTATAAAATATGAATAGTATAAAATTTGTACTCACCATCGATCTATTCAGGCGAGTGCTAGTTCAATTAATATCCAAATATGTACGCCTTACATGCACTTTTGAGAATCACAAAGGAGGGCGCCCGTTGCATTTAAATAGTTTGAGAACATTTTTAATTTACATTACACTGTTAGTTTGCGGACACTGTTAAACACATCACCAAAAAAATCACTGAATTTACATGCAAACAGCCAGGCCCTACTCGTATTTGTGAGAAGCGCAGAGAAGAGCACCTGTTGCATTTAAATAGTCAAACAACATTTTTTATTTAAATTACACTTTTAGTTTGCAGACACTGTTAAACACGTCACAAAAATAATCACTAAATTTACAAGGAAATAGCCAGGCCCTACTTGAATTTTTGAGAATCACAGAGTAGGGCGCCCGTTGCATTTAAATAGATTTATTTTGTTGTTTGTTTTTCTTCTTTTAAATCCTCATGCAGCTTTATCTTAAGGCTTGGTCCGCACGTTAATCATCAATCAGCCAGTCAGTCAGCCAGTCGGTCAGTCGGTCAGTCAGTCAGTCGGTCAATCAGTCAATTAGCCAGGACAAACAGTTTGATCTATATAAACGAGGTTGACCAAATTTCTCGTGACTAGTTTCTATATATGTTCTGTGAGCTAATCAACTGAAAATATATGCTCATCCGTAGTTGACTTAAAATTCATGCGATTTGCGCCCAACTTGAACAAACCAACCGAAAAATCTTTCAAGCTTAGATGAGCAGGGTGTGGTGAGGGGAGAGAGGGGGGAGGGGAGAGGGGAGGGCAATGCTGCTTAAGACCTAAAATAAATAGAATTTTTAAGTAAATTGAAGCGGGAAAGTTATTTGCGCCCAGTTGGATGGCAATCTACACTTTTGTACTAACTTGGCCAACATAATTCACACGCAAGCCAAGAGCGGCAGGTCGAAGGAGCGCAAGGGGGGAACGTGCGGGGGGGGGGGGGGTACGGGCAGCAACTTGTGGCAAAGCCACAGAGTCGCTTTGGGTGGCACTTTTTTTTTTTTAAACAGTAGAGCGGCAACAAATGGTGCACATTACAAGGGCCCAAAGCTACTTACCAAGGCAGACGGCGTGGCAAGGACTCACATATTTTATTATCAGCCGCAACGGTTGTGGCAGCAGCAGGAGCAGGAGCAGGAGCTGCCTGTCTGTGCAACAAGGCGCAAAACTTAAGCGGCGAAGACAAATTTTTATTGCCACAAGCCCAAGTCGATTTCGATTATTGACTGCAAGCAAACTGTTGCACACACACACACACACACGCACACTCAGACACATAGAGGAAAGCTTGGCAATTGTGGCAGCTCCTTGAGGCAGCTCCTCGTGGCAGGCAGCCAGGCGAACTTCTTCTGGTTGTCTGTGTCTTTGGCTGTCGCGTTCGCTCATTTGGGTCACATTTTATTATTTTCGTGCATTTATCGTATGCTCGCTGCCATTTTATTTTATTAGCGCGACATTTCAATTGATCGACCAGCCAGAACATACCCCCTGCCCCCCCTCTCCCCCTCTCCACCCTCTCCATAATAGCTAAGAACTGCATTTGCTTTAAGTTTTGCATTTGCTTGGTATTTAAATCGCATGTAAATCGATTCCTTGGAATCCCCGACAAAAAATAAATCGATTCTCGAGCGATCATCGATCATCGTCCACAACTTTTAGGCTACTTTAACCAATTCCTTCTAGTCGGGAGTGTCCGACCTTGAGATACCCCGCAAGCTGTCAGCTTTATGATGCAGCTAATTCTCTTCTACTTCAACCAATCTATCAATACTCTCTTAATTAACTTTGTTTCCTATTGTCCGATTTTTATGAAATAGTTGGGGCTTAATTGTGGCATAAAAAACTGTGTATATACCAAGGCCCAAGGTTTTAGCTCTTAGTTTAAGATTTTTTTAATATTTTGTGGGATAATATGTAAAGGTATTTAAAAGATTATTAATTCTGGATCTGTTTAAACTATATTTGGCGTCTCTAACTCTTATAAGCGCCCAGATCTGGACAAAAAAGATAGTAATATCGATTTTTAACGATCTCGTGGAAACGGGCGTGCTATAGCTGATGTTAAATAGGAATGATCTAATCGAGAACCATGCTCTTATACAATTTTGGGCAACGGGTGCAAATATAATCACAGGCAGGCGGACAAGGCTGGATCCACACGACTGATTAATAAAATTATGTATACCTAATTGGGTGGCAAAAGCTTCCTTCTAACCGTACAAAGCCATTATACCCCACTAACCCATTTGCAGGGTATTAACAAGTATATATTTCCTTATTGTTTCGGAGATCCCTCGTTCTCCCAGTTACACATTTACACAAAAAGATTATACCCCTTTAAACCATTTAGAAGGGGTATTAAAAATACCTTCACCCGATCTGGCATTCACAGCGAAGCTGCATCCACTCTGGCAACATCGCCATCGCAGCACTAAATGAACAGCGATCTGGCAACGCCGACGGCAGCTTGAAAAGTTTATTTTTGCCAATTGAGACGGAAAAAGTAGGCGCTGTTTGAATGTCAACTGTCAGAGAGACTAAATGAGTTGCAGTTTTCCAGTTTTCTCATAATTCTATAAAACTCGTCCGAGCAACACAAGAAAAGTCTCATATTCCTTATACAAATACGGTTTTTTTTCGTTCGTTCAAAAAAAAAAAAAAACAAAAGACGCCAAAAAAGAACAAAAAAAAAAATAGAAAAAAAAAACAATTAGAAATACGCCCCAAACGTGTGGAAAAAAAAAACAATTGGCATTAAAATATTAACGAGATAGGCGCTATATTGCAGAAATATTTTAAAGTAACTCAAAATATGGGCTACGACAACTACAATGGCACCGAGGTGGCCGAATCCGGCGGAGTCCAGGCGGCGGCCATCTATGCCGGCGGCAATGGCAATATGGTCGCCGATGAACAATTTGCCGCCGCCGCGGCCGAGCTGCAGCCGTCGCTGAATCGCGTCCTCAGCTCAATTGATTATGATTTGTGCTTTAAGCATCCGCTGGAGCACACCTGGACGCTCTGGCATTGGGAGAACGATCGCAGCAAATCCTGGTCCGATATGCTCAGCGATGTGACCAGCTTCAACACGGTCGAGGATTTCTTCAGGTGAGGCGCAGCGGGATCTTGGGCAACATTCCGTTTTATTTATTTCATTTGCTTTGCAGTGTCTACTACTTTATTAAGCCACCGTCTGATCTTAAGGTATTCAACGATTACATGGTTTTCAAGCATGGCATACGGTTAGTTGACAGGTCTTCCTTTAAAGCTCAGTATTTATTTTTTTCTCTATTTTTTCTGACAGTCCAATGTGGGAGGACGATGTCAACAAGGACGGCGGCCGTTGGGTCATGTTTTTGGACAAGGACTCCAAGGAGCTGGTAGACAAGCTCTGGCACGATTTGGTAATTTTATGAGAGGCATTTAAAACATTCATTTAGTCTATTATTTATTCTTTGCAGCTGCTGTGCACAATTGGCGAGTGCTTCGAGTATTCGGATCAAATCTGTGGCGTGGTCATCAATGTGCGCAACAAGGCCAGCAAAATATGTGAGTATCGGCTGGCAGGAATAGCTACACTATTTGGCAAGGATATAGGATCATAGTCTACAGGCCAGTCCTTATAGATATTGTCGGGGTTTAGGAGTAGGTCGAATTGGAACAGCATTGGAGATAGCACCAAAAATATATCGGTCGGTAGACATTTTTTAAACCCTACACCCATTAAAAATGCGTAAAAAGGGTATAATGTATTTGTGCAAATGTATGTAACAGGCAGAAGGAGGCATCTCCCACCCCATAAAGTATATATATTCTTGATCAGCATCAATAGCCGAGTCGATCTACCCAAGGATCTCGGAACCTATAAGAGCTAGAGACTTGAAATTTTGGCTGTAGGTCCTCCTAGTCCCCGCGCAGATCGAGTTTGTTTCCGATATTCGATAACTTGGCCCGTTTCCAAGTAATCGATAAAAATCGATATTGAAATCCTGTTTTTTGAGCAATTTCGGAAAATAATAAGAGCTAATATCACCAAACTTGACATTTAGCTTCGGGAATAGTATATATATATATATCAAGTATCCTTCATTTCATACCTATCGCCTGTTGGAAGAGGGTTCAGGGTATCCCCTAGTCGGGAGCTCCCGACTAGAACCACTTACTTGTTACTTACTATTGATTCCTTTAATAGCACTGTGGACCAAGGACTCGCACAATCAGCCGGCAATTTTGGCAATTGGACGCAAGATGAAGCAGCTGCTGCAGCTGCGCGAGGTGGAGCTGCAGTACCAGGTGCACAAGGATGCCATGGTGCAGGCCGGGCCCAATGTGAACGCCATTTACAAATTGTAAATTGACAAAAAAAAAAAAGAAGAACCATAAAATTAATAATCGAAAAAGAAGAAAAACAAGTGCAGATCACAAACTGGTAGCGGCAACTGGTAGCGGCAACTGGTAGCGTCTACTTAGTTTAAGCACATCGTAAATGCTTAGTTCTTGACTTGAGCTGAAGCATAGTACGATCGTCCCCCGTCTCTCCCTCTCCTCTCAGTGCATTATACTTAGATACTTTATACACCACGATACATTTATACACACAATATGGTGCTCCACTCTGTACTCACCAATAAAGAATAAAGCATTGCATGAAGGCGAAACGCGTTTTTTCTGTGTCGGGGGCATAGAGATGGGCGCGTGTCGCGCCTTTTGATACATTTTCGTGCCCAGCCACCTCAAACACGAAAAAGGGCACGATAAATTGCGTAAAGGCGAAAGGAAGCCCGAAAATATTGGGGATATATCGGAAGACTTCATTATAAAAACTGTATCAATATCTGATTCGATAATCTTAATAATCGATGCTAATAAAATAAAATGTAATAATAAAAATAATGATAATGATAATAATGATGATAATGATAGTGACAATGATAATAATGATAATGATGATAATATAATGATGATAATATAATGATATTGATAATATAATGATAATGATAATATAATGATAATGATAATATAATGATGATAATATAATAATGATAATATAATGATAATAATAACAATAATATAATAATGATAATAATGACAACCATAATATAATAATGATAATAATAAATAATAATACATAATACATAATAATAATAAATAATAAATTTATAAGCTGGAAAATTTGTCCAGTTTCGATTATTATAGGCTTAAGTTCGTGCTCGTGCCCATTGGCAAGAAAGGCAAGGGCACGATAAATTGCGAAAAAGCCACGATGAAAACTATAAATATCCATATCAAATATTGAGCAAATTTCTGAAGAGAATCTAAACTGCAATCTCTAAAAATATCTATCAAATATTGAGCTATATCTAAAGGTAATCTCAACTATCATACAAATACTTAAAAGCTATTCATCGCAAAGATCTACAAAGAAAATAAAGAAAAGCTAGCAAAGGTCCTTTCTCTTTCCACGATCATTATCAGAGGCTGTAGATCCAAAATATATACACATTATTTAATATATTTCAGATATATGCAAAACACGTATATTCGTAAAAGAGATTTTTAGTTCGTGCTTTGTTCCTTAACCTCAAAATTAAGTCACGCGCTCATCTCTAGTTGGGTGTCGGGCGCTGCTTGCCTTCCGGGCCATCAAATCCGGCACGTAGCCACGCGTTGTCCTTTAGCCCAGGCTCACGTTTGCCTAGCGCGTTCCTCCGCCCGTCCGTCGCGCCTCTGACGACTGCTCCACTTCTTGGCTGGCACTCACTTTATGGCGATTATCCTTTGCGCCATAATTTTGGCCATTTTTGTTGTCGTGTCGCGTCGTGCGCTTATGTGTCCACACGCCCCCCACCCGCCCCCCCTCTCTAGTGCTGTGGGCGTGTCAGTTACGCTGGTCTTTTGTGTTTATGCCATGCATAGCAAATTGTGAGCAATTTATGAAAATATGCTCGGACACGCCCACTTCTCGCACGTGGATGGGCTAACACATGACCACGTAATACGTAATACGTATACGTAATATGATGTGATTGTTGTAATTTGTTAGGATTTGGCCTTTTATTGTTTTATTGAATTATGAAGTGGCATTTGCCAAATGACAAAAACGTGATACACTAGCCAACACACACTCAGACACACACACACATACACACACACACACATACGTGGACATCCTGTCACGTCGCCTTCATGTTTTAATATCGAGTAAAAAATTCCTTTGGCCTGGCCAAAGAATGCATGCAGTTTTATGCCATTGGCAAATGGCGCATTGATATGCCACCTGGCAGCTGACAGCATGCAGGACATACCTGCATCTATTGCTCCTGTCGCTGTTGTTCTTCTTCTTCTTCTTGCCAAGCCAAGTACAGTGAAGGCTGCATTGACGGACAGAAGCTCCTTTGGGCGAGCATCGCCAGAGCTAGACATATTTACTAAACAAAAAGTGTTTTACATTGGGTGGAATTTCATTTGACAAGAGAACATCTTTGAGAGTTTTTAGGGGTATACCCGCTAGTATCGTATATAGACATAGGTCGAAATTTCCCAACCCTGTAACGCGGTCAAAACTCAACCGATTTTCATAAGGTTTGGCATTTTCTTCATGGTTTTCCCTCTAGATTAATCTGGCATTCAAATCTGAATACATATTTTTTAGTCGAAATGCATGTCAAAATCTTACCCCAATATTGGTATATAGACATAGGTCAACATTTTCCAACCCCCATAACTCGGTCAAATCTCACCCGATTGTCACGAGGTTTGGCATTTTCTTCGCGGTTTTCCCTCTAGATTAATCTGGCATTCAAATCTCAATACATATTTTTTAGTCGAAATTCATGTCAAAATCTTACCCCAAGATTCGTATATAGACATAGGTCAACATTTTCCAACCCCCATAACTCGGTCTAATCTCATCCGATTTTCACGAGGCTTGGCATTTTCTTCACGGTTTTCCCTCTAGTTTAATCTGGCATTCAAATCTGAATACATATTTTTTAGTCGAAATGCATGTCAAAATCTTACCCCAATATTCGTATATAGACATAGGTCAACATTTTCCAACCCTACAACTCGGTCAAATCTCATCCGATTTTCACGAGGTTTGGCATTTTCTTTATGGTTTTCCCTCTAGATAAATCTGGCACTCAAATCTCAATACATATTTTTTTGTCGTAATTCATGTCAAAATGTTACCCCAATATTCGTATATAGACATAGGTCAAAATTTCTCACCCCCATAACTCGGTCAAATCTCATCCGATTTTCACGAGGTTTGGCATTTTCTTAATGGTTTTCCCTCTAGATTAATCTGGCACTCAAATCTCAATACATATTTTTTTGTTGTAATTCATGTCAAAATCTTACCCCAATATTCGTATATAGACATAGGTCAAAATTTCTCACCCCCATAACCCGGTCAAATCTCATCCGATTTTCACGAGGTTTGGCTTTTTCTTCATGGTTTTCCCTCTAGATTAATATGGCATTCAAATCTGAATACATATTTTTTAGTCGAAATGCATGTCAAAATCTTACCCCAATATTCGTATATAGACATAGGTCAACATTTTCCTACCCCCATAACTCGGTCAAATCTCATCCGATTTTCACGAGGTTTGGCATTTTCTTCACGGGTTTCCCTCTAGATTAATCTGGCATTCAAATCTCAATACAAAATTTCTAGTCGAAATTCATGTCAAAATCTTACCCCAATATTCGTATATAGACATAGGTCAACATTTTCCTACCCCCATAACTCGGTCAAATCTCATCCGATTTTCACGAGGTTTGGCATTTTCTTCTCGGGTTTCCCTCTAGATTAATCTGGCATTCAAATCTCAATACAAAATTTCTAGTCGAAATTCATGTCAAAATCTTACCCCAATATTCGTATATAGACATAGGTCAACATTTTCCTACCCCCATAACTCGGTCAAATCTCATCCGATTTTCACGAGGTTTGGCATTTTCTTTATGGTTTTCCCTCTAGATTAATCTGGCACTCAAATCTCAATACATATTTTTTTGTCGTAATTCATGTCAAAATCTTACCCCAATATTCGTATATAGACATAGGTCAACATTTTCCAACCCCCATAACTCGGTCAAATCTCATCCGATTTTCACGAGGTTTGGCTTTTTCTTCATGGTTTTCCCTCTAGATTAATCTGGCATTCAAATCTCAATACAAAATTTCTAGTCGAAATTCATGTCAAAATCTTACGCCAAGATTTGTATATAGACATAGGTCACAATTTCCCACCCCCATAATTCGGTCAAATCTCAACCGATTTTCATAAGGCTTTTTGTACGTGGTTTGGTCTGAATTAAGCATCTGGCAACATTATTGTTGGCCAAAATTCATGTAAGAAAGTTACCCTCAAAAATAGACACTGGTCGAATGCTATTACTTATATATAAATGATCATGATGTGATTAACACATATGCAGATAGTAGATGCAAGATATAGTAGCCCGTCCCCAGTTCTGATTTGTCTTAATATATATTCTTGTTTCTATATATAATGAATATATTTATAAATGATATATGGATTATTAACTTACCCCGCATCCTATCAATTTTTTTTGACATGTGTATTATGTACTTACCGCACATTCCATCCATACGAATAGTTAGTATATTTCCATATTCCAATAGGATAAGATAATATTTGTATCCGTATCCAGGTCTGATTATGTTTGTTATTGTTATTTGTATATGAATGATCATATGTACAATTTACACAAATGAAGATAGTAGATGTATATGCATATGTTACATAGCCCATGCCCAGGTCGAATTTGCTTTATAATATACTCTTATTCATATATAAATGTTCATACTTAGAATTTATATAAGTAAATAGTATATTCAGCTGTTATAAGGTATAATTCTTATGCACATTATGTACATATAAATAATGTGTGTATTACGTACTCACCACGCATCCGATACTCCTTGTTCGATATACATATATGTTTTATGTACTTAACCCAAATCCCATCCATACGATTAGTTAATTTTATAAATATTTCAATAGGAGAAAGCCTTCTTGTTCCAATTTATGTATAGTTGGTAAATCCAGATGTAATAATGGAACTCGTGTCCATGTCAGATTTTGCTTTACATATATTCTTACTTATATATAGAAATGATCATGTTTGTAATTAACACATATGTAGATAGTAGATGCAAGGTGTAATAGCCCGTGACCAGGTCTGATTCGAAATATTCTAATTTATCATAAATGATCATGTAATAATGCTGATTTAATAAGATTCAGTAGGCCATTCCCAGGTCTGATTTGTCTTAATATGTATTCTTGTTTTTATATATAATGAAGGTATATATAAATGATATATGGATTTTAAACTTACCCCGCATTCTATCCTCCTCTTTTGATATGTATTTTATGTACTTACCTTAACATCACATCGATACGAATAGTTAGTTTATTTCCATATTTAATTTCGAGAAAGCGCAGTCCGGATACCTACCTATGTATATACCTACCTACATACATACATACATACATACATACATACATACATACATACATACATACATACATATATACATACATACATACATACATATATACATACATACATATATACATACATACATACATACATACATACATACATGCATAC